CCCGCCGGGGCTTTACCCCTAGACCCCACTTTGAGAAACGTTCAGCGGGGACTGCATGTTAGAGTGGGGTGATTCGGATTTTTGTTGTCAGCCCCCCCCCCCCCCCCCCAAAAAAAAAAAAAAAAAAAAAACGTTTTTGTTCATTACGCCACTGCCACATGTTATAGCGATGAACACCCTCTCTCGTCGATGGCGCAAGTCTGCTAGAAGAAAATAAAATCGCGACCCGCGGGGGAGGGGGGTTCTTTGATATTTACATTATTAGGATCATGATTGTCGTATTAACGCGGAATTGAGAAGTAGAGGATTGGATGGAATAGTATACAAATTTCCCATCTTTTCAAAGCTTACAAACCATAAAATATCACAAATATTTGTATAAAGTAGACTTATTAAGCATGGACATGAGAGACAATTAATCTCCTGCGGATGCATAAGCCACTTATGACAATGGAAATCAAAGGTAACACAAAATTACATGTTAAAAGCTCTCGATGTGACCAAAAAGTCAGGGCTCTCTGATTGTGAGGTTTAATGATAAACTAGATTTCATTCTTAGGCCTTCAAAAAGTATCATTTACAGGTCATCATTATGACGATGGTGATGATGATGATATTAATAATCGTTATAATAGCGGGCATATTCACCACACACATGGCTTTTTAAAGTTCTCCAATAAAATACCGATTGCCCTATGGTGTCCACTTATTGCACCTGGGCCCAGAGTTTCAAAAGTAGTAACAAGATCAGAAGGACTTATGACAAATCAAATAAAGGGTATATTCTCTACCCTCTTAAATTGCCTATCGGTATCATTTTCTCATTATGTATTATGTAATTGTACGGTTCGAAAGGTCAATCATTTCAAAATGTGACGTATAAGATAATTAAAATCGCCCAAAGCTGTATGTCGCTATCGAAAATCATGTTTAGAGCTTAATAGTAATAAAAAGTACATTCTTATATAATAGCGCGTTAAACTCATTAAATCTCTTTGCGCTTTACATGGGGGGGGGGGGGGGGGTCCAGCCGGCGGCAAGAGGGGGGGGGGGCCAAAATCTTGAGAAAATATTTAGCGGCGAATCAGCCACCGGTGAACGGCAAATGATCGGGGGGGGGGGGGGTTGGTAAGAGCAAATTTTTTTTTTTTTTTTTTTTTTTTTTTTTTTTTTGGGGGGGGGGGGGGGTCCAGTTTTGGGGGGAAAATTTTGCTGGTGAATAAGCGGGGGGGGGGGGGGTTGGATGCTGTAGAGGAGGAACATTTTTTTTTTTGGGGGGGGGAGGTGAAATGCCATTTTTACATGACTTTCTTTTTAACTCTCACTTTCACCTATCCCAGATAACCCTAAGTTGTTTGTTGCTGCTTTCTATTGTAGTTGATAATGCATGATTAAAATAAATAGAGAGAGAGAGAGAGAGAGAACCACCATCAGTATGCAATGGTTCAGGGTTTGTGTAATGTACATTTGAAACCATTTCTTAGCGTCTCAACCCTAAAAAAATAGCGAAACTGTTTTTGAGGAAAAGCATTATACTGAAATGCTGTTCATCATCATCATCATCATCATACTAATACTGATAAGGGCTATAGACAATGTGGTATCGGCACAGTAAGATCGGGTATTTTTATAAAGGTATTCCAAAATGACATTCTGATAATCAATATTTTGTTCTGTATTCATATGTATATACGCATAATACAACTGATCTTTATGATTTCTTAACATGACATATAGCTTCTTCTCCCCTGCAAATAAAAAAGAAAAACAAGGTTATTTAATAAAAGGATCATGCGACAAAATGATCATTGTGATTCAAATTGATGCAAGGATTTTTTTGAATAAGCAATGCTTTTCACCAGAATCTTCTTTGTAAAAACGACTTTTACAAATCTCAGCCATGCAATTCTGCCACTGTGTTGTAAGATCACTTTCAGATTAGGAGAAGTGTTAAATTGAATGGAACGTCTCAACTCAGTAAGCATGGCTGAGATTTGTAAAAGTTTTTTTACAAAGAAGATTCTGGTGAATAGCAGCTAGTGCTTATTCAAACAAATATTCGCATCAATTTGAATCACAATCATTATTTGTCGCTTAATCCCTTTTAATGACCTTGTTTTCTTTCTCGTTTGCAAGGGGAGAAGAAGATAATTGTCACGTTAAAGACATCATAAAGATCAGTGTTGTATGCGTATATATATATACACAGGCCCCGCGGAATGTTTATCAAAGTGGGGGCCTAAAGTATTTACGATCAGGTAGAGAGAGGGTAGCGAGCGAAGCATAAATTGGTGTGGGGGCCGGTTTAGGGGGCGGAGCCCCTGGAAGCTCAGGGGTTTTAGGCATTTAATTACGGTCAGAGAAGCACAAATATTTTGATGCCGCATTTTTGTCACTGGCAGGTCACAATATTTTTGTTGAATGACGTACATCATGGTCTGAAGCAATATTTTATTCAAATGAGACACTTGCTAAAGACTAACAATTTAATGTTGACCATTTATTTTCATGAGTAAATTTTATAGGTGAAAATAAAAATTATGTTTAAAATATAAAACAAGCGAATACCGAATCATCTCTTCCTCTCACATATTATGGCATAATTGTTTTTTAGAGAAATATATACATGTATAAGCAAGTGTCGCTGAAAGTTGCGTTATTGCGTCCTGGACTCACCAAATAACCAAATCTCACGCATGAATTTTGTAAAAAGCAGTGAGTAATTGCGTCCCGTAGGACGGAACAACAATTCCTAGGTTGGTATCCGGAAGTTGGAGAAGAATCATTTTCGCATCGTATATTGCTTATAATTTCAATGATTTACACATCTATCCAATCTGTCCATATAGTGTAACAGTAAAGACCCATATGTGATCCAGCCGGCAGCATAAGAGGGGGGGGGGGGCAAATCTTGAGATTTTTTTTTTTTTTTTTTTTTTTTTGGGGGGGGGGGGTCGCTTTTTTTTTTAATGGTAAAATTTACGTTACTATCCTATTTATTTTTACCGGTTTGGGAGGCTAGGGGGGGGGGGCCTGGGTCGGTAGAATCGGCCCGTGGATCCGCGCCTGTACATAGTAGTGTAGTTATATGTCTTGTCAAAGGATTCAAACTCATGATCTTATGACTCCATCGAAGTGCAATACAATTATCATTCTGTTAAAACGAAAGCCTTAGATATTTTGTGTGGAAAAGTCTGAGTGGTACGTGTGATATCGCATAGGCTATCTAATGGCGTAATGCTTGTACAGTTTTTTTTTAGCAGATGTTTTCTGCATTTATTGAAAATCAAATACAAAAAAATTCCAAGGACAATAATGATATAAAAGTAGAATTGATTGACATAAAATGTGAAAAATCAAAAACAGAAAAATTCATAGATATTATTGAAAACTTGAAAGTATGGAGGTAAATTAAAGAATCAAGATAAATGCAGAGTCGATATCAGCTAGAGGTGGGGGGGGGGGGGTGCACATGATGCGAGTAGTATTTTTAGGACAGTGAAGTGTCACGTATAAAGAATTGCGTTTTTTCTTCAAAACGTATATGATTAAATAGGTGGAGGAAAGAAGAAAAAAGAAAAAGAAAATTGCAAGTGTGTGCCTGTGGGTGTATACAAGTGAAGAGTTCGAATCGTTTTGTTCATGAATTGGTCATCTTAATTTAATTTATAAAAACAAACAATGGTATATAATTGTTAAGACCCATACTAAAGTTCATGGATATTTGGATATTGGATATTTTTTCATCGAGGCTTTAAATGAATGAAGAGATGCAAAATGGTTAATGTTGTCAGGTAAATCATCCAAAATTCCGGACCCTGGCATCTAATCGATCTTTAAACCATACTATTTTTTGTGCTATTTAAAATAGAGCTTGGATGAGTGTCGTGTAGGATAAGAATGTAGGTTTAATTGTACACAAAACTATTTCGCAATGCTGATGGTATAGTATTTATCGACAATTATCCATAAAGATTGAAGTTCGAAAATTGTTTAAAATATCAGCAGATTCTAATGTTTTTAATTCATGAAATATTGGATCAGTATGGGCTATATAATGTGAATGTATATCAAATAATATAGAGTTCTTCTTTTTTTTCAGCTTCGTTCTTTGTCTTTATAAAGACTGGGTATGTTATTGAATTAGGCTGGTATTACATACCATTGTGTTACATGTTATGAATGGAATTCGATTCAAGTTTCAGAAACCTATTCATGTGCTGTCATTTTTTAATTTGATGACTGCGGGTGGAGTAATATTTCTACTGCTTCTCAATATAATGAGTAACTAATACATGTATGTATATAAATAGTATACTACAATATTGTTATCATGGAAAATAAATCGTCGCAGTGCACATATACTCAATATTTTAATGAAGTATCAAAGTTTTCGCGCTTCGCGCGGGAGGGGGGAAACTGAAAAATAACTTAGTTCCTGGCCCCGGGTTTACCCCACTTTGCGAAACGTTCTCGGGGCCTGCATGTTAATTATAGTGGGATGATGCGGATTTTTTTTTCGTCAGCCCCCCCCCCCCCCCCCAAACGTTTTTACTCATTACGCCACTGGTTACATGCATGGGATCAAAGTCATTGCGAGTGAATCGTGAGCATAGAGATCTATATAAGAACATTCTGTATATAGATCTCTATGATCGAGAGTATTCATTGCCTGCGTACTTACTGTGACCATATTGCTGGTAGTATATCTCTATGACTGTGACCTATCAGTTTTTACGCCATCGTCCGGAGCGCGCGCGCGCGCTTCTCGAATCCCGTGCTGTACATTTGTACACATAGAGATACAGCTAGCAGTAACTACGTGTGTTGTGCAAATGTTTTTGTCGCATGCGAATTCCCCATTAATATTATTCATTGAAGTGGAACGCAGGCTTTTAACGTGAGAGAGAACCTCTAACCAAGATTCCATGATCAACTTCTGCTAGTATTTAAGCATTTTGTGCTTTTTACGTTCTCCACAAAGTATATATTGTACACCGCAATGGCTTTAAAAAGAATAACAAAGGTAGGCCTACTTCTTCATTCAGTATTGAATTTATGTCATTCTTGTGAAGACTGAAGTGCAGTCTCTGACGAGTCTGAGTCATGAACTTGAAGTTGTGTGGTGATCATGGCATGATGGTGATGTTGTTAATGATCTAGATAAACATGATAACAACTAGAATAAACCCAATGCTTTGTTTCCTTTACTTGTCTTCGGTTGTCCTTCGTGTGGTAATTAATATTAGGTGATAAATTTCAGGTGTGTGTGTGTGTGTGTGTGTGTGCAGGCCGGGGGGGGGGGGGGGGGGGGGGGAGGGTTTAGACGGTAATTTTCAGGGGGAGTTGTCCTTGGGGGGTCATTTTCCAGGGCGTGATTGTTTTAGGGGTACCATTGCAGTTGGGGAAGGGGGTATTGTCCTTGGGGGGTTATAGAGTCCTTGGGGGATTATTGTCCTTGGTTGGGGGGGGGGGGGGTAATTGCCCTGATACGGTCTTGAAAAGTTGGTGACATAGTCAGACGGTCTATACAAATGAAATACCCATGAATAAAGTCCACTGACTTTGAAGTGCTGAATCTGTGGCATTTAGCGAGGATTATCAAAACAATGGAATTATTCGCATTTTTGTTGCTCCAGGTAACAAGCACATGAAGGTAGATCTAGGTCAACTCAACAAAATGTGATACCTTTTGATTCATATCATTTTGATTTGGAAGATAAGCAGCCATTTTACTGGCTGTCCGATATATCGAAAATCATCAAGTAGTAGATTAGGTGACCATACTTGCTCAAAATTGATGTTAGATATGGATGCAGTTGCAAGTGTAAATGTACATCTGTTATTTGATGAATTAAATTGAATTTATTATGACATTACAAATGATTGACAAATGTATAATTGTGTTTGAACGAGACAAAAATGAGAAAAGAAAGATTAACAACTTGTACTATAGACATTTCATCTCTTTATATTTTGTTGTTATGATAGGAGCTTCATGATTTTGACATGGATCCTCCGTCGGCATGCTCCGCTGGTCCTGTGAGTGATGATTGTAAGTAGTCCAGGGAGGTGTTTCACAAAGTCAAACTTATCTCTAAGTTGGACTTAAAAGTTATGGAAAGCCATTAGCATCCTTGAAAATATTTTGTAAAATTTATTTAAAAGGCATAAAATGTTGATTCAAATCATTCATATTTTCTATTATCATGGGAGATTTCATGTTCTTGATGTGGAATTTATAGAAAGTCTAAAATACTTGATTTTTCGCTTTTGAATATATTTAATTTTAAGGCTACAAATGGCTCTCCATAACCCCCCAGTTTGTATTAAATATTTCTGTATCTAGTTTAAAGGTAATGACCAGTATTGGAAATGCCCTAATTTCAAAAAATTAAATGGAAGCTCTTAATTATTACCAATCATGTGAAAGAATATGTTTTGAATAATACATGATAAACATTTTGCTGGGAAACCGCCTACTAATTGATATATTTGGTAAATTAGTTTATCTATTGGTGTGTGAGAGATAAACACACATGTCGGGCACGTGTGCGTAGTCCCATATACATCTTTCTGTGTACAGTGCTTGTTACTTTACCAAGACTGGACCAAATTTATTATGATTTTGATGACTCCAGAACCTTGCAGTGCACACTAATACTTACATGCTACATGGTCAACTTTTATTGATCCATTCCACACCTTTTCGTTCACATTTGCAATCGCATTACCAGAACTCACCTTCATCTTTAATTTCACTGATCCAAACTTGTTTATTGTACATTTAGCTTTCCACTTTGTTATGCTTCAGCACACTCCTGACCTACATTCATTATCAGATGCCTGTTAAGCTCTTGGCTTCTATTGTTCTGTCCCTAATCATTCATCCTCATTCAACATTACCTGCCATAGCACCACACACACACACAAACACACTCTTTCTATGTCTTGGCTATTCAAGCTCACTATAGACACATGGCACTCTATCTTTCCTTAGGCTTTCTATTGGTTACTTACTTCATGTACAATCTTGTGATTGGTTAGTATTGTTTTATGGACTGCATGTCACTGTCAGCCATCTTGTAGTAAAATATAGCAGTGCAGCTCAAGTCAATAATCATGTTAGACTAGTTTGGTCTTGTCTGAGTCTTACAATAGCTTATCATACAGTAGCTACTATATTTATTAATCAAATTCAGTTAATCAAGTTCATAAAATCATTTTTTTTTTAAAGTGATGTTGTTATCTTTTGTTTAAATATTCACCCTCATATAGTCAAAACACAGGTTGTATTATTTCTAAACTTCATTGAATATAAACTATATCCAATGAATATTAACTATATCCAATGAATATTAACTATATCCAATGAATATTAATGTTCTATGAAAATGGAAAAATTTGGTCAATGTATCAATTTTTTTAAAGTGATGTTATCTTTTGTTTAAATATTCACCCTCGTTTAGTCCAAACACAGGTTGAATTATTTCTAAACTTCATTGAATATAAACTATATCCAATGAATATTAACTATATCCAATGAATATTAATGTTCTATGAAAATGGAAAAATTTGGTCAATGTATCAAATTTTTTTAAAGTGATGTTATCTTTTGTTCAAATATTCACCTTTATAGTCCAAACATAGGTGTATTATTTCTAAAAGTTCTTGAATATAAACTAGATCCAATGAATATCAATTGTTCTATGATAAATTTCACTCTTCCAAATTATTTCCTTGAGCCTACCCTACCTTAATCATTTTTGTATTGTGTGTAACCTGCATGAATCATTTTTTATTCAACTAAATGAAATTACACAAATGTATCGGAATTGATTAAGATTTGCAAAAATTGTATTTATATTTGTATTCTTGATTCTGTTTTATACTTTTGTATAATTTTTGTTAATCTTGTTTTTTTTTAATTATCTGTAAAAAATTGATAGAATTCAGCCGTCTGGCTGGGAAGATACTTTATTTGGATAAATCTTGGCTCTTAAAGATAAAATTCTATCCAGTCTGGAGACCTACTAATCTATTTGACCACTAATGATGAGTATGAATTGTAAAAGGAAAACATTGTATAGTATATGCTCTGCTGTCATCTATTTTGATTGTTTGGGGGGGGGGGGGAGAGATAAACCAAAGATTTACAACTTTGTAGGATTTCATTGAATTAGATGCTGGTCTTTATCTTCCTATTCTGAATTTATATATTATAAGTTCTTAAAGGCTGATGAACAATATCAAATACTGTTGTCTGTTTTTCTTTGTTCTAGTATTTAATTGGCAAGCCACTATATGGGACCAACGAACAGCGCATATGAAAGTGGTGTGTTTTATCTCAATATCCACTTCCCCGCAGATTATCCTTTCAAACCACCAAAAGTAAGTACTGCAGACATGAAACCATTTGAATTTTACAAGTTGAGTTGCTATTCAATTTTGAGATGTTAAACAAAAGCTTGCCTTATAATTATAATTTCATTTCTGTTACGGTATGACATGACTGTGTGCAATGTATTTCACTAAGGCTTAACCTACAAAACTTACATTATTGTATGAAATGATTCTACTACGGTATATGAAAAATTGGCAACAAACCTGATCAAAAGGCGACAAGTTATTGAACGATTTCTCATAGGTGCAGCCAAAGAGTGTAATTTTTTCATTTTAGCTCTACAATCTTTTAACATTGCATTCAATCTCAAATTAAATGACGAAACGCTTCAGTAAATGCACTTTGTAATGTTTCCCCCCCCCCCTCCCCTTCCCTTCTCCTTCCCTTTTGTTTTCTTTTGTATTGGGGTATAGGTTTTCTCTGCTTTTATTTTCCTTTTTCTTTTCTCAACAATACAGTGTATACTCTTTAAGGAGTTGACGTTCATAAGGGAAATTGCCCTTCTTCTTTTTTACCGCACATTCCCATAAAGTTTGTTTGCTCCTTCCCTTTGTAAGTTTTTTGTAATCAATCTTATATCTGTATCATGTATATTTAATGTTTTTTATGGAGAATGAAATAAATGAAATGAATACAATACAAATTGGATTGTGTCAGGAGTTGTGCACTTATGCTGTAATGTCAACTCTGTTCTAAAAATGTTGCCTTTACATTTATTCGCAGGTATCATTTACGACGAAAATCTATCATCCAAATATCAACAGCAATGGCAGCATCTGTTTAGACATCCTCAGATCACAATGGTCGCCAGCACTCACCATCTCAAAAGGTAAGGGCAAGTTCAACTTATTTTATCCCGTACGTTACGGACCACTTCAAAGGTTTCACAGTATATCTGATGACTTTATCGAGCTAGTAGCTCTCCTAGAGCTTGAATTGGACACAACATCAATTGAAATGAAAATGTTAGGGTTCTAGGACAATAACCCCTGGGCAATTACCCCCAAAAATTACCCCTGAGGACTTTACTTGTGTTGTTGCAGAGTTAACTGTATGTTATGTTTGATATATCTTCCATAATCCATATTGGGAGAAATTGTATTTATCATTGACATTTTTTCAATTTCTCTCTTCCTTCTCCCACCAGTTCTTCTGTCAATTTGCTCTCTGCTAACGGATCCTAACCCTGACGACCCTCTGGTACCTGACATCGCCCGCGTCTACAAGACGGACAGAACCAAATATAATATGATCGCCAGAGAATGGACACAAAAATATGCAATGCTCTGAAGAACTAGACAGTCTGGGAGCAGGAGGGTTAATGTCTGTCTGTTCTCAATGACCTAGCCAACCAACCAGCAGGCTTCCTGGACCCATTTGCCCATTGTAGGGGTCATGGGTCAGGGGTCAGACAACCTTGTAGCCAGCCTTGTTCAACCAATCCTATGCGGTCCAAGTATAATTACATTTCTACCCCTAGCTTACTTAGGGTGCGTTCAAGCAATTTTTTAGCGACTGTGGTTCTGCAGAATCACGATACAAAACGCATCTTTTTCAGCGTTTCATGTTTGCGTTTTGAAACACGTTTATTTTACGACTGACAAAAAAATCACTTGAAATTTCTTGAATGCAAACGCGTTTGAAACTAAATGTCTTTGAAAGACTTGTTTCTAAGGTGAAAAAGTGTCAATTGAACGCACCCTTACCATATCATGCAATATTGCGATCGTAATCCTTTCTTATCTCATATGAGGGTGGTCTCAAAGCAAGTTTATAATATCACATCACGTACGGTTAGAGCCTAGAGGTTTTGTGTCTTCTGTTGTGATATCATTATTGAGAGTAGCGATGGGTTGATCGCAGTTTGAAATAATGCTAGGATCCGTATTTATGTATCTTCTTTAAGAGAAATCCTACCTTGATTGCAAGTTGTTTTAAAGCCTATCTGTACTAGTTTGGCCAGGAGGGATTAGACCTCCCTGCAAGTGGTTATCTCATCAACTCAGCTCTCAATTAACATAAGAAAAAGAGGATCATGGGGGACCAATAGTCACCGATTAGGCATTGTTTGCTATATAGAGGGTGCAAGTAGCTATAAGTAGTGCAGAGGGGCTTTAAGAGAAATCCTACCTTGATTGCAGTTGTTTTAAAGGAAATAGGCAGGTTTGGCATACATTAACTTCAGGACTTTCTTAACACCAAATTGTAAGACACTTTGTTCTTCTTCAAAATCGCTTTAAATAGAAATCAGTATGGGAAGGTGCTCTTGTTACTATTAAAGAATGCTGTACTTAGTTATGTAATTTTGATGTAAATGTACAACAAGTATACAACTAAGGTGTTCTTTCTCTCTGTAGTTGCAAATGCAGCAAATATTTTGCTTCTTTATGTATTTAGAGAAAAATGCTGCTCTTATATTTTGATGCATTCATACGGCTTTATGTATTGATGCAGTGTACAGAAAGAAAGTGTACAATTATGAGATTTTACCGCTTGGAAGAATGAGAAGTCTTTTTTAACTCGAGCCAGGAATTTGTAGGATTCCATTGCCTAGTTTCTGTATATGAGGTGCTTCGGTCTTGCTGTCTTTAGAATTGATACTGACAGAAAACTGAAGTTAAATCTTAAAAATTCAGGTAAAGGCAGGATTGAATTTTGCTTTGCTTACACAGTCATATCGCACTATGTGCTTTTTATACAGTTCGATGATCACCAGCTTTTAGTTCACCTGTTTTTCTTTCTTTAAAACATTTGGAAAGAATGTACTCTTTGTGCTCTATGTATGCATACAGTTATTTTATCCTGATATTTACAAAAAGTTGATTTTTATCAGATGATATTTTTTAACAATTGATGTTACCTGTATAACCAAACCAGAGTAACACATCTTGACTGGTGTACATGCTTTGAATATAGTACATGTTTATTGCACTTTTAAAAAAGAGAAAGAAAAAAAAAGTGACAGTAGCGAACCAAATATAATGTTGTGTATGAATAGTAAATGCTGCAAGTCAAAGTAGCATTCAAGTAGGATTCTAGGGAACAACCCTCAGATTATTGTCACCCCAGACAACTACCTTATGGAAAATTTCAACCCCTCCCCCCCCCCCCCCCCCCCCCTCACCCCATAACAACAAAAACCCTCCTTATTTAGATACCCTAGGCCTAGGTTAGGTAGTTATGAGGGTAATTAGGGTCATTTTAAAGGGGTCATTTTGGGGGGGGGGTCAATCGTCATCAAGGGAACTTGAGAAAAAGGTGGTTCTCCGGATATAGAAGGGTGAAAGGCAACAATTAAGGAAATAAAATGCTTGGTTATGAGTTTGGACATCTCTCTTTTGCCCTTTTGCTATATCAAAAATATATTTTTCTCCTGAAATAGAAAACTGTGCCATAATAGCTCTATCTTCTCACGCAATATTTTAACATATCTAATTCTTGCCAGCAGTCTTGATCAATGCTGACTTCAATAACTCTTGTGATGTTTTTGAAGGATGTACTTGTAAAAAAAATTGAACTCAATATATATTATAATGCTAAAACTTGGAGAAGAGATACTCTATAAATGTAAAGCTGGTGTGAGTGTGTTTCTAAGAAGTAGAAATGACAGATGTTTGTATAGTGATTTCAGTAGCACGATTTCTCTTTTATCTTTTTTTAATTATTCTTGTGATTTGAACATGCATGGTGCTTTTGTGTGAAGAAAAAAATAATGTACTAGTACCTATCCGACCCCTGGAAATAAGTTACATCATAGACAATAGTGCATGTCACCTCCTTATGTGTAGAAACATATTCTGAAGATTTCCTTTTTAGATTCATGAATCATTTATTTCATGGATTAATGTTGTTGAGGAAGAGAATTTTCATTTCTGTCGACCACAATACCTGTTAAATCGGCTGTCTTTTGAGGAAACTGAATTGCAATATGGATTGCAGAGTTTTTTTTTGTACAACATGTGGGATTTATTCATATCAATTGTCTCATGATACATTGGTCGCTTGTCAAGTTAGTCGCTTAGGTGTAGTGCTAGCTATGCAGCAAGCACCCATTTCAACTTCACAAGACCTGATTTTAGGCAGAAAAGATCATCATTGTTGCATATTTGTGTTATGCACTTGTAGAGTATCACCATCACAATGCTGCTTTTTTTTTGCAACTTGAGTCCATGGCCCTGTTTCATAAAACTTGTTATCAAGAACAAATGCTAAATTTCTATGATAAACTTGCCCTCAGCCAATCAAATGCCACAATTTCGGTAGCTTATAACAGTTATTGTAACTTGTTATTGATAAAAGGTTTTATGAAACTGGGCTCTGGTTCATGCTAACAAGTATACATTGAAAGCCTATAAAATAATGTTTTATAAATTGAAGGGTGCTTAAGTTTGTTTAGGCTTTGCTTTTGCCTTCTATTTTTTTTTTTTTTTTTTTTTTTTTTGGGGGGGGGGGGGGTGTTTTGTTTACTGTTTGTAAAGGGGTCAGGGCAAGGGGGATATCATGGGTGAACTCCAAACCTTGCCTAAGGGTGCTGTAAGTTGAAATTTATGAAATTACAAGTAACTACTGGTAGGTTTACTTCAGTTTTTACATCCCTTACAGAAGTTGTCCTACAGCCCCTCTCAGTCCGAGTATGTTGAGGCCAAGTTAAATTGATTTTTGAAATCTCATGGATTTTTTTTTTAAATGTTTTTTTCGTTTAAAAAAATATATATATTTTTGATAGATTCCCCACACAAAATGTGATGGGGGTAGATTTTTAACACTCATGAAAATCTGGAGCAAACAGATGCATCAACACTTTATCTTTCTTACATTTTTTTTTAATTCTCTTGCCATTTTTATCAAAAGTGAAGTTATAGTGTGAAGCTGAAATTGTGCATTTTTTTTAATCTCATAATTTATGTGATATTTGCAACCTTGATTTTAGGATTGAAACATGCCTGGAAATAGAAAGGAATGAAATTTCTTTTGTGATCATGGTGGCTGTAAAGTTAAAGGGTAATGAAACGTTAGTATAACATCATGAAGTAGAAATATTATATTCTGCCGAATGCAGAAATAAGCAATTAATGGATGAGATATATGTAATGTGTCACTTTTTGCTTCTTTTATGGGGTTTATATGTTCCATATTGTCAGTAATGTGAAAATGAAAATAAGCAAAATGACAATAATTTTAGAAATACAACTGTATATCAATTTAAGTATTGATTTTAAGAAATGGGAGATTTAGCTATAGTGGACGACAGATGATATATTTATTACTTGCTGTTTTTTGTCTGGGGTTTATGTTCCTTAGTGTCAGTAATGTTAAAATGAAATTAAGCAAAATGACAATCATTTTTAAAAATACAAATGTATATCAATTTAAGTATTGATTTTAAGAAATAGGAGATTGCTCCATAGGAGAATCGACTATAGTGGATGACAGATGATATATTTATTTCTTTAGTGCCATAAAAGTTTTGCTGCAATGTTAATGTATGATGTTTGTAGCCAGTCTGAAATATTTTGGGGGTTCGACTTGTAACATGACCACTCTATTAAGAATGAGTGGTTCTTGTAAGTCCATGTTCTCCCGTATAATTTGATATTTAATAGGTTATGTTTGCGTTATTCATGTTACTTACATTTCTTCCTTTGTGAATCCTTTATCCTCTGTTGGTTTTCTGCTTTTTGCTTCCTTTGTAGAGTTCCCTATGAATATGTAATCTAGACAATCTTTGGGGAAAAGGGGGAAACCATATCGGTCAGGAGCTTGTGCTGAAGTAGTCGCTCTTCTTATCCATAAGATTCAAGTTACTTTGACAGATTTTGTTGTCAATTTATTTGTTTGCGTTTTATAATGTCCAGTCATACTATATACTTCCTACTGGCAAAGTTTGGTGCATGGGCTAGGTGGGGTCAAATCGACCTGACCTTTAGAGTTCATTTTGGGGGCTCTGGGGGCCAAACCCGGTAGCTACGGTCAGACTGACCACCCTTTTTGTCATTGAGTTAGATGGTAAGTAACTTTGAGGGGTCAAATTGTATGGATAGAACTAGGTGACCATTTCAAGACAGGCTCCCAGATCAATGATATTTTGATCATTTTAAATTATGTTTTATTTAAAGTGTGCTGATTTAAAAAAAAAAAATTATTTGCCAATTATTGCTGCCCATATTTTTGATTCATTTGGGATTAAACTATGGATGTATAAAGAATTCCTGGTTTTAATGTGTGTATCATTTCTTGTGTGGTTAAGGACTTGAGAGGGTGCAAGAGATCAAATGATTCAATTTTGTGGACTGTATACATTTCTTTATAGAAAGTTCATGGCCTTCAAGCAAAGCGACTACGTTTGGAAACTGTTTTATCATGATAAAAGGTCATTTAGAATATTGCTGATTTCATGATTTTTAAATCTATATGGTCTGAATTGTTTGAAAAAGAACGATCTTTGACAGATTTACTGCTAATTAAAAAAAAAAAACGGCCTGAATTCATCATCAAGAAATGATTACTTTATGTGTCTCTCAAACAGCACAGAGATGCCTATGTGTGGGCCAACACTGAGTATAGGAAGTGTGGAAAATCGATTCATGATACTAGTAGCTTATGTCTGTGAATTATGAATTTATGGACAATATTGAAAACTTGTATGTTTCATATATTTCTGTTTGAGAATAGCGTTGAAGAGAGCCATAACTTCAGTTTTTTGACCTGCACTCATCAGAGTAAAACGCAAGAATGAAACAGAAAGCAGAAATCGATCAATATAAACGGAAACTAAAAGGAACAAGGCGCGAATATAACGAGCGCTGATTGGCTGTCAAATGTAACAGTAAATTAGGCTTATGCCAGCCGTTTATACCAGGAAATTGCTAGAATAATACGAGTGTCCGAACAAACTCTTTCTGTCTTTTTCCTTTTGATGACGTTTGTTTCTTGACCCTATCCAAACATTTATTTGCTCTTCCTAGCTTACACAATAGATTAATTAATGCACAAATCAACTAATGACAAAGACATTTATTGGTGACAATGTTACCAAATGCTTTTAATCAACAGTTATCAATATCTTACAATAATAATTGAAGCTCAACATAGCACATATTTATTGCATGGTCTAAACACTTGTGTGATCCGACTCATTAACATAATCATTATGTAATAACAATGATTGGCAAGTTACACATCATTTAGAATTAGAAAGATTTACTCGTATGGGTTTTTTTCCTACTAGACTACATCTAACTCCAGGGGGGTGTTTCACAAAGATCCTAAGTAGAACTTAACACTAAGTTGGACTTCAAAATTATGGACAGCCATTTGAGCCTTAAAATAAAATATATTCAAAAGCAGAAATTCAAGTATTTCAGACTTTTTATAAATTCCACATCCAGAACATGAAATCTCCTTGATGATATAAAATATGAATGATTCGATTCAACATTTTATGCCTTTCAAAATAACTTTTACAAAATATTTTCAAAGATGCTAACGGCTTTCCATAATTTTGAAGTCCAACTTAGAGATAAGTTCAACTTAGGATCTTTGTGAAACACCCCCCTGGTACAATATTGTCTGTTCGGAGCCAGAAGGGCATTTACTGTGTGTTAAAGTTTACGAGTTAAAAGGGCAATCCAACCTTTGTAATAATTTCATTTATTTGAAAGCGAAATAAAAAAGAGAAACATAATGGCGAAAGTTTTGAAATAAATCGGACTGATAATAAGAAAGTTTTGAAATAAATCGGACTGATAATGGCGAAAGTTTTGAAATAAATCGGACTGATAATAAGAAAGTTTTGAAATAAATCGGACTGATAATAAGAAAGTTTTGAAATAAATAGGGCTGATAATAAGAAAGTTTTGAAATAAATCGGGCTGATAATAAGAAAGTTTTGAAATAAATCGGACTGATAATAAGAAAGTTTTGAAATAAATAGGGCTGATAATAAGAAAGTTTTGAAATTAATCGGACCGATAATAAGAAAGTTGCAAGTGTTTGAAATATGAAATCACTAAATCTATGCGAATCGCAAATTGACAATTTGGTCATTTGGTCAGTAGATTGAGAATGTTTGTTGAGTACACGAGTATCATAAACAAGTGCCTCCTTCCTTGGGGCATGTTTATATATATATATATATTGTGGGGAGCAGATATTAAAGGTGCTCTAGAATGAAAAGACCTTTCTGAGTCGTTCATTTCGAATAATTGGCATTTTAGTTATTTTGTGTGTTGGAACAAATGGGAAAGTTGTACTTAAAGTGACACTGCCGATTCAGCCAATTTAAAGTGCCCATACGTATCGTTCAAACTGTCACCAATCTGCTTCTCTGATTTTTCTGCTTTGTTTTAGAGTGGTCTAGTGCTAAGGTTGGTTTTCCCTTTAATGCCCTTCTGGCTCCAAACATACAATGAGTGGTTTCAAGTTGGGTGTTAGTGTTAAGTGTTTAGAGCAGTCAAGAGCTGGTAAATCGAGCTAAAAATTTGCTGGTCAAATTAAGAGCCCGATATTGACATCCATATCCGTAGCTTAACACTAACACCGAACTGGAAATCAACATTTGCTTAATCCCTAGGAGCTAGTGTTAGTGTATAGGACATTTGTACGTAAAATATTAACACCAGCCACAAAGGTCGGTTCAGCAGATGACAATTTTGTGAAATCGATAACACTAGCTACAGGAAGTTGACGATATTCACAGGTCAAAGCCTTAACACCAGCTAATTTCCATTTTAGTGTTTAGGGCTGGTGTAAGTGTTTATTAAACACTAACACCAGCCCTAAACACCCAACTTGAAATCACTTAATATATCAATTGAAGCAATGTGCAAGGGGGAATGTAATACATATTCCATAGATGTAAAGTTTAGGAAATTCTTGCTGTTTTACCATTCTTGCACTTGCACAACACACATCTGTCATCATTTTTGTCAGTAAATTGACATTCATAGAAAGTATTAAATTAAATATTTAAGGTTCTTCCAATTAGAAAAATCCCATTTTTGCCCATATAACAAAAACTTGGGAGCAAGCTATCAAGTTGATTCTGATCTTGATATTTGAATTTGAATTTGATTTTGAAATGCCAAGTGAATGGGCTCTCTATTTTAGAATAAAGGGATAACATGAATTTCTACTCTATCAACTGCTAACATGCTACCAAAAAATAGCACCAAAAAAAAAAGGGGGGGGGGCGGGCATTCACCCCTATTTGTAACCATATTCAATCTTATCCTCCTAGAGCTTACATAACATACCAACAACAGCTTTATAAATAAAAGCCTTTATTTCTCATACTCTGTGTCATTTAAAATACAAATGACTGCCAGGATTTCAATTCTTTCATTTTGTGTTTGGTCAGAGCCAGAAGGGCATTACTCATTAAAGGCATCGTTTAACATTGTTAAATATGAGATGCATGATGACATGTTATCATTGTCTATGATATGGTGTAATATTGAAGCCCTAACAAAATTGCGCTTCAAAATGAAGTGCCTCAAAAATTAAAAATCTATGAGAAACCCGTTGTACCATACTCATTTTCCCCAATAGACTGTAGTGTTATAAAAACAGTTTGGAAATTTCAAATTCCAACTATAAATATCTTGATAATCAGACAGGCGATCGGCTTGTAAAAGTCATGGGATTCCTGACTGACCTAAAGGTTTATACTTATGATTGCAGCATGAGCTAAATCCGGGATTTTGTTTAAGAATCTGAGACAAAGATACCCAATCCCTTTAAGATTACTCAGCTCATGAGCATCTCATAGACTTGGAAATGGAGAAGTATTTGTTTGGTCACATGATCCAGTTTTGCATACAAACAATTTATATTCAGTGGTTCTTCGTTCACAAACAGTTATCATACATTGCTGAAAAGATCTGCATTAGATCACATTTAACACACATTGCTGAAATAAGGTCAATAAATACTTTTTACAAAACTTCCGTTAAAAAACGACAAAGCAGTGTGTTTCGTTCATTTGAATGTTGAGAACAAATTGTAGTAGCCACTCACGACTCCAAACTCAACATCAAGGACAAACTGAATACTACTAATTGCATATAAACCCACAGAGAAAGGATCACAGGTACGGTTTCTCTTTTAAATATATGATTGAGAGCTCAACTTTATGTGGCATGAAGAAAAGTAGATGTTTCCACCGATTCCTCTATTCAATAAACCTTGAAGCGAGATACCTATTCAGCCCATTGCACTACCATCCAGAGTTGAAAATAACGGTTGAATATACACTCGAATACTTGTCGTCATCAACCAGATAAATAAAAGTCCATGAAGAATTCTTTCAAGCTGATTGATTGCTCGCGAGTCACTATAAAGCATGAAAATCATTAACATGCACATAGAACTGAAGCTCAAACCACGTCCACGCACTCTACGCCACACAGTGTTCAAAAGCATCCTTCCGGCGATTCAGCTCTGCTTCTGTTGCGCCCTTTCATGTCATCGACTAATCCAACGCGAGCACCTTATCAAGGGTTGGGCAGCTGTGCATAAGCTCCCTCTGTCTTCATGCTCTCGGGATCCCATTGTAACGAGTTCGCTTCCCGGTAAGCGTTCAGCGATGGGACCTTGTCAATGGTCGCTATTCCCGAATAACTGCGACCCGTTGTCATGGTCGTGCGAACAAGCGACCAATTATCAGTTCTTGGGTTAAAGCATTCCACCGAGGCAAGATTTGACGTTCCATCGTCTCCGCCCACTACGTACAGGAGTCCATTCACCGATGCTACACCTACAAAAACAATAAGATATAAACATAAACAATAATAATGATAACAGTAATGATAATAATAATAAATTTGTAAAAAATAGCCTATTACTCACTGGAAAATGTTGCAATATTGCTCTCATTTTGACATTGTTCTGAACAATATGAAACATGCAATATTTTTCTATGCAGAGTCCTACTGTAGACATCGTAAGGATTACGCACATATAACATTATCACGGTAGACCCCATAAAACGGATACTACAGCACGTTGAAAAAAAAAAGAAGGAAGGGCTGATTCGGATGGTCCAGTGAGTAAAAGGAGGGGCGGTTTCGCGTGGCTTAGTTGCTAAAGGGTTAATGACTTCATATCTCTCTTTAAGAGAAGACATTGGGGAAAAACAAAGAGTTTTTATATAAATGATAATGAACGACAAGGCATATAGTTTAAAGGCAAGGAATTCAGACACTACTTCAGATTTACGTATACTGCCATCTGCTGCCCACAATGTTCTAAAGTGTCGACAGCCATGTCCCACAATGCATCACCAACCGCATGACGCACATGATGATGCTTGGGTACAGGAAATCGCTCTACATACACCTTCCCAGAAAGATGGCGCAACTGTAAATACTTTACAGCAGTGGTAGCAATGTCGGTAACATACCCTACATTTAATTGATAACTCTCTCTCTCTCTTTCTAAGTGCATATTGATTGACTTTGGGGATCATGCTGTTCCACAACTCTCGGTTCCTAGCCTTCTCTATTAGCACCACTCCCAGTTCTTTCACTCCTCTTTCTTCTAACAATTTCTGCAGACTGTATATCTAAAGTATCCTCCTTCTTCCCCAACTCTTCCTTTCCACAATTTTCCCATCAAAGCAAGATTCTCTAGGCCTTCTTTACGTGTAATGTGACCCATGACCTTCAACTGCCTAATCAACATCTCACTTATCATTTTCCTGTGCAGTCCAGCTCTTCTAAGAACTTCCTCATTACTAACTTTGTCAGTCCAAGCAATTATCATTTGATAACTACCAATTATTTGAAAAATAAAGAACATATCATACCTGCATTCCTCCTACAGAGTGTCATGTCGGCTACCTGTGACCACCTATCTGAGTCTGGGTTGTATACCTCGACACTCTTTCTAACCATAGGACCATCATGGCCTCCTACTGCATACAGTAAGCCATCTACGACACCAACGCCTACAGGCACAAACACAATACAGGGATGTCAGTAAGAATCGATCAGAGGGCCTGCAAATCACCTAGAATGAGCTATTTTGTACATAAAAAAAGCCTTAACTATGGCCTGAATTTAGGCTTTTGCCTGAAAACTGGCATCCTTGATAATAAGAGTACAATCACAAATGGGAGGCTTTCAGTAACATCACGAAGTAGCATTACTGAAAAGGCTGTTGGTATGTTATTTCGTAAAAAAAAACAGCATATGGAGCATTTAGAGGAAGAATGTATATATTAAGGAAAAGGAAAGAATGGAAGAGATGATAATGGAATTAAGTTTTTATTTTTATTAAACACTTACATGATAATTTGTCTTCAAACGCAGCAAAAGGGTTGACATGTTACTGATTTGTTTTGTTTTTGTTTGTTTGTATGTCTTTAATTTATTTATTTATTTCTTCTTAATAATATTATTTATTTTTGGGTGTGAGGTGGGGGGGGGGGGTGGGGTAATCACGACTTAAACTCAGAGATACTCTACAAAAGCTTGTCATAAAGATCCATAATGACAGGAGTGTTTGGAGAACAGTAAAGACTTCCCTTCTTCAGATATAAAATTGTTAACTGGCCTTTTTTTTATAGCGCGCACAACAAAGGTCCTACAAATATTCACTGAGCTCTGTGTTATAAGATACAGAAATGTGAGACTTATAATATGTCATCATAAAAAAAAACCACTGTGGTTTTGCCCTGTCATATTTTAACAATCCTAAAATGTGACACTATAGTTTACCTGCCCCACTCCTCCTTGTACTCATCTCAGCCACAGTGGACCATTTATTATCAGCTGGGTCGTATCTTTCTACTGAGCTTAGACAATGTCTTGAGGCCCCATCATAGCCTCCTACAGCATACAGAAAACCTGGACAAACAAAACAAAAATACAATTATATCAATTAAATCTCTATTGTGATGTATAAAAATAACAGTTCCAAGAGAAACTTTTCATATTTAGATTCCCTGAAAGGTGCAAAGTATCACAGAATAGGAGCATGCCGTTTAGAATGTCAAGACCATCCTTTTTTTCAAAGTTCTTTTCTTAACTTTTACAAAAAGAACACCCAAACAGTCCTTTCAAGGACTACTCTTGCATAGTGCATCTGCAAAATTTTACACACTATTATAACAGATGCTTTGAAAATGAAGTAATTGGGTAAGAATAGTTGTTTATTCCCTGAAACTTCACCAACATATTATGTTTTGTATAAAGCGCTGTAGATTCAGGCTTCAATGAGTTAAAATGATCAAGCCCTCTAGAATAATGACAGTAATTCAATTAATAAATGTTCCCACTTGGATCCAAGAGTACTGCAGCTCCTACAACGCATTAAAGGAATCAATTAATTACCAATACCGGTAAACATTCAGTGAATATTTGTCAAATCAAACCTGAAAACTATTTATGAGCACTGTAAACTTTTCAGTAAATTTCGTATTTATCTCAACTTCCTTTTCTATGCCATGAGGCCTGGAATAAGCAGACTGGTTACAATGCATACACTAAGGACAGCCATATTAAAGAACATACCATTGAGGACAGCAACTCCGACACTACTCCGTCTTGTGTTCATCTGTGCTACCGGTCTCCATTCATTCATCTTAGGATCGTAGGCCTCTACACTACTCAATCCTGAAACAAGCAATAAACATCATTAGCCCATATCGGTTCAGAGTTTTCTAAAGGTCTCAATGAATCGGCTTTTCCTCTCGAATTGCCAACATCTTTTTATATTTCCACTCTTACATATTTTTGTAAATAAGAATGTATATCAAATGAAACAGAGTGTATGAAAATTACAAAAAATCACAAGAAATTCAAATTTTGTACACGGAAATAGCGATTACAAATTTCAGTTTGAATTGACAAGTTAGAGACTTCAATGATTATTTTTGATAAGTCATTCTTAATCATGGACTCACATTTTCTAGTGATTTTTGCACTTTCTGCTCATGTACATTTTGTAATTTAAAGTATTCAGGATGAAATTATTAAAATAAAATGTAAGGGAGTAGAGGGAGTGGGGAGAAGGAGAAGGAGGGGAGGAGAAGGAGGAAGAGGAGGAGGAGGAGGAGGAGGGGAGGGGGAGGAGGAGTATGAGGAGGAGGTGGAGGAGATGGAGGAGGAGGAGGAGGAGGAATAGGAGGAGGAGTATGAGGAGGACAGGAGGGGAGTATGAGGAGGAGAAGGAGGAGGAGGAGGAGGAGGAGGAGGAGGAGGAGGAGGAGGAGAAGGAGGAGGAGGAAAAGGAGGAGGAGGACAGGAGGTGGTGGAGGAGACAAAAGATGAGGAGGAAAAAGAGAAGGATGGGGAGGATGAGGAGAATGAAGAGGAGAAGGAGGAGGAGGAGGAAGAAGGGGAGAAGGAGGAGGAAGAGGAGGAGGAGGAGGAGGAGGAGGAGGAGGAAGAAGGGGAGAAGGAGGAGGAAGAGGAGGAGGAGGAGGAGGAGGGAAAATTATTTAAATTTACTTCTATTATATTAAGACTCCACAATCTTGCTCATTGATGGAGGGAAGAACAAAGAGCACTCCATGACAGATAGTCCACGATATGCTTACCAGTGGTGCCGTCAAATCCACCTACTGCATAGATCATGCCATTCAAGACTGCTACGCCTAACGTACTCCGTCTCGCTTCCATAGAGGCCACTGAAGACCACATGTTCCGGACAGGATCATAGACGTCTACTGTTCTCACCCTCAGAGATCCATTGAAACCACCAACAGCATACACCATGCCGTTTAAAACAGCAACCCCTGGAAGAAAATGTAATCAATCATTGTCCAGTCGAACTTTATTTACCGGCCCTTTTTAGAAAGACAATCAGTCTATAAAGACTTTATTTGTTGTTTCCCTTGAACATGGCTTCTCATTGAAACCTGTACTTACAAAACCTTTACATACAGAACACCCACCTATGAAGACCACTTTTCTTGTCTCCCTTGGGCAGTCTATGAATAAAGGTTTCACTGTATTTCATTATATCCAATGAACACCAATTTAATGCAATTACCTTTTCTAAGAGTTATGGGACATCATTATTTGTATTGGTATATGCAACTAGTCTTAGATGATTTTGATGAAAATGACAGATCAAGTTTTAAAAAGGTTATATACAGTAAAGGCAGGATCCCAAAGGAAATTGGATTAAAAGTGGCTGTTCACAGGAAAAGTTGCAAGTAAGATGCAAGTTACAAATGTCTTATTTACTGATCATTTTACTGAAGGTTCAAAAAAAAATCTGCAGATTAGTGAATTGCTATTAGTGTCAGTAAATGGATCACATATAACCGCATCTAATATAATAATAATATTCCGCTTTTATATAGCACTTAATACAAATGCCTGTAAGCGCTTTACAGATATACTATTACCCCGGTCATTGGATTCAATACTTACCCACTCACACTCATACTTGCCCACTCTCCACTCCCTGGGGAATATTTTGAGTAGGATCTAGGAGTGAGGTGTATACTACAGTCAAACCTGATTTAGTGACCACCTCTCTACAAAGACCACCGGTCTACAATGACCACATTTTTATGTTTCCCTTTAGCGGTTGCTATAGACAGGTTTGATTGTACTACTTCTTAAATGCACTGACCTGCTCTACATCTTCTTGATGGCATCTCAGCTGCTTGCGTCCAGGTCTCCTCCTTGAAATCATACACTTCAACACTACGGATAGCTTTAGGGGCTTGTCCACCGACTACCAGCATTAACTATATCAACAAATAAAATAGTTTGATATGATCACTGGAGTATATGTTCCAGTGTAGATTGTATATACATAGTATAGTTAAGTTGTTATACTCTTCGTAAGATTTTTTGTTATTTTACCCATCATGTTTATACTCGGCTCTTTTCCCTATATATCTATGTAACATATGTTTTATGGACCTCTACCTTGTGCAGCTGAGTCTAAAATAAAGATCTGAATTGAATTGATATGCAGATTGGGATGTTTTATTTTCTCACAGCAGTATTTAGCACTTACAAAGCAATTTAAATATTAGGATAATAAATACATAAATACCTGATGATTGGCTTAAATATCACAACCTCTTGGTGGTGAAACTCACTTGATTTTAATCGTAATTATTACTCAAGTCCCGAAATTGGAAATGTGGTGTAAAATATTAAAAATGTAAGTACGTATTGGCAAATTTTGGTTCAATATTGCAACTTCCTTTGGTTCATCAAAAAACGGTATATTTGTTCTCACCTTTGGTAGTCCAATAGGAGTGCGTAATCTGGTTCGAGGGTTCTTCATTGTGCCTCTCTGCTCTTTGGGTAATAGATGGTATTTCATGGCCTCTATCAGAAAGTCTTTACAATCGCTGTTGCCTGGGAAGAAATTAAAATGATTCATTAAAGATGAAGTTGAGTTCTGTTCATGCAATTGCATTGTGAAAGAAACGGTGTGGAATTTATCGGAAAAGGTTGATCATCTAGCATGATATTGGTATGTACTGCAAGGTTCTGGAATCATCAAAATGATAAGAAATTTGGCCCAGTCTTGGTAAAGTTACAAGCACTGTACACAGAAAGATTTTATGGGGCTACACGAACATGTGGCACAAAAATCTGTCCCGATTTGTTTGTTGTTACATGCAATATTTAGAATATGAAAGCATTTGAAGAGCCATGCTTTTCAGGGAACAATTTCTATCTGATGTTTTTCCACACTTGCATAATAATGATAACGCTCACAAATTATTTTTCACCTCTTTACCAGAACTCAACCTTATCATTAACTCTCCCGCCAGATAAGACCTTCCAACCTGATTGTTTGTCTCAAGAACGTCTACAGAAACATTTTTGAGCTTCTTATATTCCCTTCATAAATCTAGCTATGTTTAGGATATAAAATCATAATTAAATGTGTTCTGAAAACCAGAAATTACTGAAAGTTGTACGCCTCCACAATGCACTACATTTGGATGACCAGAAATAAGTAAAATGTCTATGTCTCTATAATTTATTGCATTTAGATGACCAGAAATCATTAAAAGTTGTATGCCTCTACAATGCATTATTTCAGAAAGAGCATAAATTAGTTTAAGTTGTAGTTTTAACCATGAACTGTCTTTAGAATCAAAGACTTGGGTCCTGTTTTATAAAGAGTTGCGATTGATCCAAATCAATCGCATGTCCTCTAATTCATCACATGTTTGCAGTCCCCATCTTAATTTGCAAAGCATTATGTTTAGATGAAAAGAAAGGAGTACAATTTCTATGTCTCTGTAATTTATTGCATTTAGATGACCAGAAATCATTAACAGTTGTATTCCTCTGCAATTGCATTGTGTTTAGAAGACCAGAAATCAGTATGAGTTGTAACTTTGACCATGCACTGTCTTCAGAAGACCTGGGCCCTATCTTATAAAGAGTCATGATTAATCCAAATCAATCGCAAGTACTCCAATCAATCACAAGTTTGCAGTCTCCTATCTCGTAAGTACATGGTTGTGACTGATATCAGCTGCAAATAAGTTTCAATTAATCGCAACTGTTTTTAAGACAGGGCCCAGATATTGGTTAAAAAACTGAAGTTTTATTAATGGCTGCTTCATAAATTACTGGTAGATGAGATACCTTTAATGAGCTGCGATTAATCGCAACTGTTTATAAGACAGGGCCAAAATATGATATAACCTGAAGTTTTTGTGATGGCTGCTTCATAAATTTACCGGTAGATGAGATGCCTTTAATGAGCTGCGATTAATTACAACTGTTTATAAGACAGGGCCCATGCAGATATTGGTAAAACCTGAAGTTTTTGTAATGGCTGCTTTATAATTTACCGGTCGATGAGATACCTTTAATGAGCTGTTCCTCCTCCACTCTTTGGATGAGATAGTCCCGTGAAAGGAGAGGCAGTCTGACATGTTCAACAAGCTGCGGCATGTAATCGCTACGGTTACTAGGATCCTGCTTCACCCATGACACTACGGCTTCAAATACCTGATTACAAAACAATTGATTTTATTGATTTATTTCTGTTTCTTTTTCTTTTTCTTTTGCAGTTTTAGAAATATCTAACAAACAAAACATTGCAAATTTACACATGACAAAAGAATATATGTGAACAACCTGTATAATAAATACCACTCAAAGGAGACAAGAAAAGTGGTCTTTATAGGCAGGTGGTCTTTTATGTACATGTTTCTTTAGTACATGTTTTAATGAGAAACCGTTTTGAAGGAAACAGAAAATGTGGTCTTTATTTATTTATATTTTGTTTATTAGTCTTTTTTTTAGTAGGGTGGCTCCATCAGTAGTTAAATACTGTTTTCCGTGGAGGCCCTGCAAACATAAATACAAAATTTACAAACATATTGATGTAAATAATCCAAATCAAAACAAAAGGAATTCTGTTACAACATTTTCGAACAAAACAAAAGAAACAAAAAAACACAATGGACCAGTTCAATGATTTGAATTATTATAGCGCTAAAACAAAAGAGTAAATGAAGGTTTTTACTGTACCATCAATATGGGTATTATTTCATGTCCCTTCTTACAATTTAATTGACAGTAAATAGAGATATATGCCAAAATATATAGACAAATCGATTCAAATGAAAAGCAGATGAAACTGGATCATTCATGTTTACATGTTTGGTATAATAAACTAATTTTTGAAAAAGATATGAAAATCTAGAAATAAACTAACAATAAAGGCAGATAAAATTGGCATTCCCAAGTATTTGGTAAGAAGAATTAGCTACTGCACCGTAATAAATTGCAACTGCAGTAGTTAAAAAATGATTGATATGGATTTAAAATTTGCAGAAAATAAAGGGTGATAACTCAAATATAATATCAGGTGATAACTCAAATATAATATCAGGTGATCAGTCAGCTATCATGTGATCACTTTGCTATCATGTGATCACTTACCTCTTCTTCTGAATGGACTGTCAGGTGATCACTACTAATTAGTTCACAGACTTGAGCAGCTGGCAGAGCAAAGAACTCATCGCTATGGACAACAGCACTGGATCAGAATACAAGGTAAATAATGAGTCACAATCGTTTCATTTAGCTTAATAAACACTACAAATATTATGATCCAAATGTAGATATCATTAAATATCATATGGAATTGCAGTTACAGGAAGGTATGAACATCTAAAGCAAATTTGAGCTCAGACCAGCCGCACACTTCAACTGGAATGCTCACAACTGATATTTTATGAATACCTCATTACATGTAGGCTCTAGACCTTTGATTGGTCAAAACTGTAGGCATATTATAGCTACTGTGATCTTAGTGATCGGAAACTCTTTGTTTGTCGGTTCATATATTTCTTTGTGGTGATGAATGCCAGAGCATGCAAAAACTTGTATAATTCTATTGGAAGTGATATCATAATCATGGTTCTTCCTGTATCAATTTAAAGAAAAGTTTGAGTTCTGGTAATGATAGGAAATTAATTCTCACAGGATCCAACAAAACCTACACTGAATGTTCAAGATTACAAATAGTTGTCATGTGCCAAATGATTTTGGTAGAAAATGTATAGGGGCTGAGTAATGAGCATAGAAAGATAAGAAAATAAAAATTGAAAGGCGTAAATATTCTCCAAAAGAATGAAAAGCTGATAACACACACAGAAACAAAACAAAAAAAACATAAGTAGGTTACTATGTGAAAATGGGAGTTGTGGTTTTTATTGAATTCCAATGATTTCCAGCAATTTTTGGTGAGTTTGTTTTTATTTTACTGGGTCAAACTATCAATCTACTGCAGGATAAACAAACCAGAATGAATTATAGCCATGTGCTTTCAACACACTATTCCTACACCAGAGCCCCGACTTAGAAAGAGTTGATATCAATCGCAACAATCGCAACTATGTACATAGGAGACTGCAAACTTGCGATTGATTGGAGGACTTACGATTGATTTGGATAAATCGTAACTCTTTGTAAGACAGGGCCCAGAGCTCAAGATTAGCTTTAACCTCATTGTAACAAGAGCATACCTGAAGTGTTGCATGGTATAATTCTGACCATAGTGGTAGAGTTCGCTACACGAGTGTACGTCAGCAAATGCTCTTATACCAAGACAGTTGGTAGGATGAAGTTGTTTTTGCAGGAAATCACAGCATGCATCTCTGACGTCATTCAGCTGTAATAAACTGGCAGCAGGTAGGAGGGTCTATGGTATCAATACAAAACAAAAACATGTTAATTTCATCCATTTCAAATTACCTACATTTTTTTTAAAAAGTTAATCATAATATTCTTTATAATTAAGTTTCAGCTTTTGTTTAGTGTACTACAGGCTAACTTTTCTCTGTGTATTTACAGAACTCACCTGTAAAAAATTGCAGGAATTGGGAGAAGAAAACAAAATATTGCATTCAGTGATTACTTCGCTGCTTTTCACAAGTCATACTGAAAATACTTTGTCATCAACTATGCTCAACAAACCATTGATGAAGGGCACACAAATGATTTTATGAAGTACAAAATAGGTCAAAATATTATGAAGAATTAACATTATTGATTTAGACATACGATCTTCCACATTTTAGGCTTGTTCAGATATGGCATGGTAAACCCCACAAAAAAGCTGCCATGGTTTTTGTTATGTTTGAATGAACGACATGGGACAAAGGACTTGCACATATTCACTCAGCACTGTGCTGTAAGATACATGAATGAGAAGTGCATGACAACTTATGTCATCATAAAAAAACGAAGCGGTTATGGGGCGTCCCATCTGCATGGGCCTTTAATCTGCTTTCATGCCATATGAGCAAAATGTCAACATGAGACAGGAACAGTTCATTACCTTGCAATTATAACAAAACTAGTATAACTTGGCTATACTATAATAAACATAATAATAATAACATTGGATATATATATAGCGCTTATTCGCCATGCATGGAGCTCAAGGCGCTCCAACTATTACGGTAACCCGGCTCGGCTAGACAGCCGATTTCGGCAATCACAGCATTCAAGGAATTGCTTCCTACCGGTACCCATTTAACACCTGCAGAAATCGAGGAGCAACAATCACTGACCTGAACATTTTCCTCTGTAACCTGCACCTCTGAGGTGTAGACAAAATCAATGAGTAATGAAAGAGCTCTGCCATCCACCTCCTGGAGAATAATCTTCTCCGCTCGACTCTCGGATAGTTCACTGGTAAACATGGCCGAGAAATACTGGCTACAGGAGGCTAGCACGATACGATGAGCTGGGATCTCCACACCCTCTGCCTCCAGAATTACATCACATAAAATGTTTTGTCTGTCACACAAATGGAAATGGAAAAAACAAAAAAGACATAATAATAACAACAACAACAATAATGATAATGATAATATTTCTTGTTTAACCAGACATGACTTTATCAGTATTTGTACTGTCTTCCCCGAAGGCCCTGCAATCATATTATTTCCCCAGATTTACTCTAATAATGATAGGAAAAATTACAGCTAAAACCAAGGGACATATATTCTGAACTAGTATTTCTGTCTAATCTGATGATGCAATATGTACATTTCGAGCCAGTTTATGGTTTCCAGTCCTAACTTGGCATCATTTTCTTTGGGAATAACTTTATTCTACATTTCTGAATCATAATGTACCTGCAGTTAACCTGCACTTGGCAAGATTTATTTCCAATACTGCCAAGTACCAAAGGAATATCATCTAATCCTATGTACTTACTTTCTGAAGACATTAAGCACCTCAAACGCCTTCTGTGTGTGGAGATTGTTTGTGTACGGAGGAGCATCAGGAGGAGGGATCTCCATATCCTCCATCTCTATAGCCTCAGGAAGATCCATCCTAACAAAACAAAACAACATCAATATCAATTACATGTCAGCTAAAAAAAACAATTATAAAACCACATAGAGGTCACTATCCATGTGCATTGCATTTGTGCTGACACCAGATTTGGTTGAATTACTTGTGTATACAGGGGAGTGTTTCACAAAGATCAGAAGTTGAACTTATCAATTCTTGCTCAAATCCACAAAGCAGAACTTCAAAGAATTTTTTAATTTGCGAACAAGGACGTCATTGATTACACACTTCCTGGTTGGTGTCTCAACAGAGAACCTAAGATAGGACACTGCAATTTACACACTGCCCATATAATATTGTGTGTTAAAACATGTGCCCATGAAGGTTCCATGCTATAAGTTGAAATGTCATCACTCAATCTTTAAAACCCATTTGTAGCCATACAATTACTCTGGAACAAGCCCTTAATCTACATATTCTTCTTATACCCTATTAAAATTTATTAAACTACCGTATTTGCCGGCGTAAAGGCCGCAGTATTTTTGGAAGAGAAAATATCAAAAAGTCGGGGTGCGGCGTATACGCCGAAACAGTAAAAATCGCAAGTCAAAACAGCACGTCCATTATTTGTAGGCAACTTCATACAAAAAAATATATATTAACAAAATTGACTTGAAAAAAACATCGGACAAGATCTAGTCTGAACCACGTTAGCAGCAAATTTGATCGTTTTTAATCGTTGTGCAACCAAAGAAATAAGAAGAAAACTGACCAGAAACTCGTACTAAAAATCGTACTTGTAAAAATGTCCTTGGCTTAGACAGCGCATGGCCCGGTAACCAAAATCATACCTCGCTCACACACTCTGTGGTGGGGAGCTACCGGGCTGGGAGTTGCAACAAATCCAACGCAGCTTCGGAGATTCGCGCAATCGTCGGTGTTTTTAACTTTTCAGTAAGATAATTCTGAATTATAATTGAGACTATCTAATTAATTAAAGGGACAAACTAACCTCGATAGATCTCTAATAACAATACAAAAGCTTGTTTATTTTCTCCATTTGGCGGTACGATAGGGGTAAGACCGGATAACATTATGGCCACAGCTCGGTAATGGCAGGCCATTCATGTTTCTGTATGCATGCGAAGCGCCCTCTAGTGTCCAATGAATGTGCTAATCTGCCAAAAAAATCGATGAAGATTTGCTAAATTACAATCATTTTTTAGGTAAACTTCCTGTAAATTTATAAAATGATTGATAATTTTGGTATTAATTTGTAGGAAAAATAGAGTTCTACGAGAAAATTCTGATTATTTTCTTTGGTCCGTTTTTTTTTTTTTCTTTTTTTTTTTTTTTCCTTTTTTTTTTTTTTTTTTTTTTTTTTTTTCTCTCTACGAAATGTCAAAGTTGGGGGTGCGGCCTATGCGGCAGTGCGGCCTTTACGCCGGCAAATACGGTATTAAATTATTTCTAGTTTAGCTGTCTGGACTAGAGTGATTGATTGCAAAATAGGACTAAAACAAAAGCACCTGTGCTGTGGCCTGAATTTCAACAGCAGTAATTCTGGGCTTGTGTCTGAAAGTCAACATTTTGGTTTCTAGCTCCTGCAGACCTGCACAAATAGTTTTCCACTCATTGATTAATGCTGACCTTACGACAATAGTGGTTAGTTTAGCATACTACTACTATGGCGCACACTCGGAGTATGCTGAATTTAGCGAACTCCTTGGGGGCACCTTTTACCAACTCCAACAAAGCATAGAGAGTCGATGCTAATGCGTATTGACCTCTAGCACCACATGCTTGCTGTGAGGCAGGTATTATTAGACCCATACACAAATATACACACCACACAATATCGCATAGACTCTACACAATCATGTCGATGCAGCTGTAAGCAAAGTTTGACACTCGACTTACAATTTGAATTTTTAAATTATTCTTTTTAACATCAGTAAGTTAAAAAAAATGTATTTTACTGCTATTTAGGTGTCATCAATTGTCACTAAACTACCGATTTTTAGTGAAATCAGTTGAGTTTTGTACAGTGGTGTTTGCAATGTTGAGAATCAAAAGCACAGCTTTTACTACACAGCCAGTGCTTTTACCCTTATCGCTATTTTTGTTAAGTATTAAATTGGGAACGTGAAAACAGGCATTTTCGCATATACTGCTCTTTTTTACATGTGTGTCAAAACCAACATTGCAAACTCTTAGTCTTGTTAGAATTAAAACTCAGCGTTCAAGCAATTTAAATTACAAAACTATTCATAGATGATAGATCTAGACTCTACATGTGTATGGGTGCCAATTGAGGCTTATAATATCCATTTATTTCATATTATCTCCTACTAGCCCTAACTCAGGCTTAAGGCTAGGGCACAGGACCTAACTCTAGGCAAGACTATAGGCCTACAGGATTACAGCGTCTTTCAATCATCCTTTCAATCATCCTTTCAACTTCAAGTATTCAAAACATTTCTTTACTTCTTCCCCATTTACTTTGCATTGTCGGCCCTACATCATACATGAAATATATCTAGACTATAGACATTACCTTAAGTTTTCCTCATGGACTACGAGCATAATAATGTGAAACTCATAGTCTAGGATCTAGATCTAGTCTTAATATTAACAATGACAGCAACACCAACAACTACAAGTCAACATGAATGATGATAAAGCTAGCGCACAGGCCCGGCCCCGCGCCCGCGCCCCGGCAGCACCGATGCACATTAACATTTTGTAGACCTAGAAAAGCACAGGCACAGATATAGTTTAGGCATAGTCCCCTCCATAGATTCGAAAATCAATAGAAAAATTACGTTTCCGGAATATAAATATCAATACTCACTATTCAATTTCCTTTTTCAGGAGAAGAAAGTGCATATTCTTGCCAATCTATCAGAGGGCAGTTGCAGTTCGCGATCGGGTCGATCCAGTCAGCTCAGATCGTGTATGTTACCTTTGACCTCAACAGCACGGTCGAAAACCCGGAAGTACTGTCGTCTACTTTATCTGCACTATGCGAGTGTAATGTTCATTGGGGTCACTGACTGCCGCGATAGGGGGGCTCATGCCCATGGCCCCCTTCTCATCTGCTTAAAAAAGGGCAATTCATCCACTGAACTTAGTTAGGCTTTAATAACCATATATTATGTTAAGAGGGACTCTGTGATTTTGTGTGTCATCTGACCCCCCCCCCCCCCGCATTAATTACCATTGGCTAAATCTTTGTCTAATTTACTATTCAAGAATGGGAGGATTAGGAGAAAAGATTAATTTGACACTGAAACGCATTAATTGATACTGATAGGGAACTTCCGGTCCCATCCACAACTTCCTCACATGAAACAAAGTTGTGATTACTCAGTGCCCAGAGTCAATCCGTTTTATCCTCTAAATTCATCATGACATAAAAACATGAATTTCGGTATTCCCAAAATGGAAGTAAATAAATAAAATAAATAAATTTATGAATGAATAAATGAATATATATATACAATTATACATATATGTATATAACAAGCTGTTATTTCGTCCTTAGAAGAATATAAACAGACCTCGAGTCTTTGCATAACCGGCGATGTGGCAGCTAGTTGGTCGAATAATTTATTTGGTAGGCAAGTTATTTATTATTTACAGAAAGGAAAAGGGACACTTGTCAAAGTAAAAGGGGGCATGGTGTAGTTATAACATTTGAATATGTGCACTTATAAGAGGTGAAAAGGGGCACTTTCAGAAGTGGAGAGGGGCAATTATATAAAGGAAAATGGGCTTTTATTAGAATGTTTGTATAGGCACATTTGGGTAGGCCTTTTATGTGAGGGGTTATACACTCATCTTGTATACCCACCATCACTGCAGGAGGCTGTCATGAATATATTTTATATAATATAGGCGTACTTTATATTCAATAAATCGTAGTGCATGTTCTCCCTCTTTATCACTCCTTCCATCTGTCTGTCTGTGTATGCGTGTGTGCGTGTGTGTGTGGTGGTGTGTATGTGTGTGTGTCTTTCTCTCTCTCTCTCTCTCACACACACTTTTTTTTCTCTTTCTCTCACTCTCTTTCCCTCTCTCTCTCTCTCTACCTCTCTCTCTCTCTCTTTCTCCTCTCTCTCTCTCTCTCTCTCTCTCTCTCTCTCTTTCTCTCTCTCTCTCTATTTCTCACACCTCTCTCTCTCTCTCTCTCTCTCTCTTTCTCTCTCTCTCTCTCTCTCTCTCTCTGTCATATTTTGATGAATGTATTGGAATTTGCAATAAACAAAGTGTCATGCGGTATAATATAGCAAAATGGGATGGAAAGTAAATTGTCAAAATCTAAGATGCAGTGACCATAGGATTGTATTCACTGGCCCATAATGCAAATATAATATACAGGCCACGTCGTGTTATCATGGGCAGAATAGATATACCAAACTAACCAAAGGCTTCAAGTTTATTCTATACTGGTGTTAAAAGGGTATTTTCATGGAGCTAATAGTAATATAGACCGGAAATGAGTAGTTTTGCAATTAAATAATGTTGCACAAAGCAGCACTTCCGTCAAAATGTTATGATGCACATTGTTTGTATTACAAAAATTGCGTGTATGGCAAACGAGCAACCTTGCAAAGTGGTGAAGTATAACTATAAGCAAACAAAGTTAGTTTAAAGATGTCCCTTTTGCAGCCAACCTCAAATTCTGTAGAACTTTGCAGGAATTATGAATATGTCATGTATGTCCTATATGTGAAATTTAAACGTTAGTGTGTCCTCCTATTCAAATTATGCAAGGAAACCCGTTTATTTGCTAGACTTCACTTTTAGACACTATTGAGTGACTGACTGGCTTTTTTTCTTCTTTGGTAATAACATACATGAAAAGAGTTGTAAAGGGTACATGAGCATTTGTCTATATCAATAACCCACTTCTTGTGATGGCCAAGATTACACTGATTGAATCTTTGCGCAGCATAAAACGTATGACCATTCGGTACAATTGTCTGAAAATCAAGACTATTACTTTTGGGCTCTATAGCCCTAAAATCGATTTGACAACTAATAGTCATTATTTTCCCACTTGAAGACATTTTCAAGCCCCACCTTTTTTAGGGAAGTTCTAAATAAGTATTATCTTTCAAATGCAGTTGGAATTTAACTTTTTCATTTTTTGTTGGCCTGCAAATGGGACATAGTACCTTTACGTATTATGTATGATTAAAAAAAATAAGCAAAGTGCCTGCCAGGCGAGTCATCTCAGCCTGTCCAGAAATTACGAGTGTTCTTTATTTCATTAACACTTTTAAACCACCACCTACCCCGCCCCGTCCCCTTGATAAATTCTAGCATAACGCTTAATAAAATTATATCTAGGTTTCTGTCGGCAAGCGTTACAAATTCTAAGAGCGTTATTCATTTTGAGAAAACGTTCAAAGCTTTTGTTGGTAAAGTTAACAAAACGGAGGACCATTTTTACTCTCAAAGTATACCCACCCCACGAGTATATAATAAGCCACCAGAAGAGACGAAACTGTTATTGTAGCTATTATAGCAAACACTCCTGCGCGGGGCGGGGGCGATCGAGGAAAAAAAATATTTCAACGATGAAGAAAACTCTATTCCGGCTCCTTCACCCCCATCACAAGCATAATCTGATATGGTGATCAAAATGCCGAATTTTATAACTCATCGTGGGTAAATTATGCTAAATTTCTAAATTTCACTAAGGACAGGGGTGGGGGTGGGGTAGAACCCCTTCTCACACACAATGTGTTTATTGACTGAGATATTTTAATGCAATGTCTTATTCATCTTTTTTTCCCTGTCATAAAAACATTCATGTATCATATACGCCGGGGGGGGGGGGGGGTAGGTAAATGTCAACTTTTAATTTCAGGGACCCCCCCCCCCCCCTTGAACCATTCCTTGTGCATACAAACAGTGTCTAATTCGTCATTTTTTTTTCTTCAAAACTAAGAAAATCACAACGCCTTTTGTGTCTTATCTATGATCATTATTTCAAAATTATGGAAAAATCGTAACACGTGTCAGGGAATGTCATTTTTCAATTTTCTTACTTTAAACTGATAAAGTGTAAAAGAGAAATGCACTGCACAGAAACTGTAAACAAAATATGCAATACAGTATAACGGAAACTCATTAGTGCCGCCAGATAATTAACATAGTACATGCAGGAGCGTTAGGTATAGCCCGTCGGTTCTAGGACAACCCCTTGGCAATCACCTCCGGCCAATTAGCAGCGGGACAATTACTTCCCCACCCCCTCCCTAAAATTACCCCCCCCCCCCCGAGGACAACCACCCCCCGAGGATACAATAATGTATCCCCTGGAAAATTACCAAACAGCCAAGGGCACTATAATATAGGATTTTCCGGCCAAATTCGCGAGTTTGTCATTCAAATAATTTGTCTAGCGTTCAAATTCGACGGTTTTAGTGCAGTCAGGTATATCTCGGGTTTATATTCCTTTTTCTAGTTTTCAAATCTATAGAATTTTCGTTAGAATCTACGTATGTTTCATTCAAATTAATGAACAATGTGCTTCTTTCGCTATTTGGTCATTCGATTTGGCGTAACACGATTTTCTGACAACGCGACGGTGTACTTCTAGCATTTTAATTCATTGTAGCATTCAAATTAGCACTTTGTGCACTTAAATTGATGGTCAATATGCATTTCTCGTTTATTACACACTTTTTATAGCTCATTCATTTTCGTTCAAGATTGTTTTTTCATGTGTATTTCATCATATTTCATTTTCTTGCATTTATACACTTATACTTATTAGATTTATCTAATATTCATCAGCATTTAAGTTTGATTGTTAAGAAGAAAAAAACGACTTGCATGCATCTCAATATATTTGTAAATGTTCGTGTAAGGAAGTTGTTTGTCTTAATATATATGTTTCATCATAAATTTATCATAATTCATCATAATTTAATTATGGAAGAAGGGTACAATATTGTGACTGGGGTAGGGACTAGAGTCAACAATTTGAACATGATTCATTATTTAGCCAAGTCTTTAGCCGTCGATCTGCTGGCGGGCAAGTAAACTATGAAACTCTTTAAGAAAAACAGAGGGGTGTGCTGGGTATAAGAGACGATGTGGATTACTAAAAAGGGACGATTGAGGGTACCCCCACCTTTCCCGGGTATATGAACATGTCCGTGCAGAAATGCCACATCCCTTGATTTCGCCCCTTCTTTACTTTATGTCTGACTACACCCATCTGCATTGTCCTGAAAATGAATAAATGGAATAACAGCTTAGACCCCAATGGCAGATCATGCATTTTAACTGCATTTTTTAAAAACTGTAAACAATTGTTGCAAGTCTTCCCCCTAACAGTTAACTTGAATAAAAATATTACGAATACGAATGACAGGTGTTAATTTGAATGATAAAAATTACGCTTCGACAAGTGAATATTAATTTGAATGCTAGTTGAGCAGTTTCGAAATTGAATGACAGATCTATGAAACCCTTCGACCAAAATCCTAAATTAAATACAAAAACTGGAAAATTGAATGATAATTGGCATGGCAAAGTCAATCTGCGCTAACTTAAATGCAAAGTAAGTGAATTCGAATGACAAACACGCGAATTTGGCCGGGAAATCCTATATAGCATATCGACACGGTTTTGATCCTGGGGACTCACAGTTATGAGGCCATTGCTTTGTCACTGAATCATGACTGTATATACGCAGCGGGGGCTAGGGTAGGGGGCAGCCCCTACAAATAAAAAAACCCAACGAAAATGCAATAAATTATTGATAATTTATTGCATCTTTTAATTTTTGTTGTTGTGGGGGCTGCCCCTATCCTATAGCCCCGTTACGTACAGTCATGATTCAGTGGCAAAGCAATTGCCTCGTTACTCTGAGGCCCAGGATCAAAACCGTGTCGATATGCTATATTAGTGCCTTTTTTGAGGCATTAATCCTCATTACTGTCAGTTATGACTTAAGTACGTAGGTTCCCTAGTTGATAAGCATAACACACACATGATCTAGCAGTCACGCAAAACAAACGCTCGCAAATTATTATTCAATAATATCCATTATGAATAAATCATTGTCAAAATCATTGTCAAAATCATTCTATAAATTGGGGTAAACAAAAATTAATCCACCTTGATGATGACCAACAGTGTATATATTATCTTGACCTATCACGAGTGCAGTGCATAATGGGAAATATAACACTTTTGAAAGTATATTGTTTTGATAACATTATAGGCTAAGGCTATTATAGTACTATCAGACAAAGATATATTGCTATTTGTTTTCGTTGATTGTCAAAAGTACATTCTCTAAATTCGATTTCCCCCCCCCCCTTTCTATCGAAGAATAATGGATTTTCAACCAAGTTCAAAAGTTGCTTTATATAAACGCACTCGGCAAAAAAAAAAGGGGTGGGGACATTATTTATAATGAAGATTTTCACATAAATATAAACTTATCTTTCATAGATCAAAATAAACATAAATTAATCCTCTTTAAGGTATACGCAGATCGTGAATTACTAGTTTGTTTGTTTGTTGCTAGTAATTCATTTTGATGGGATAAATACTTTTAGAATTGTAGGAGGCATGTTTAATAAAGGGAAAACACAGATCCAGTTACATTTAGAAGGGCCCATTTTGTTTTGAAATGTGAAATCAGCAGCTTCCTTCCAATGTCATGTTTTTTCTGTTTTAAAAACAAGTTTACAACACCTTGGGACCGTTTTAATATAAAACTGTGTTTAGTACAGGAATATATCCAAATGTATACCACGACAATTCGTATTCCCTTTTTGTTACATAACAGCTGGATAGACTATGACTATTATTATATCATAATGAGATTGGAAGAAAAAAAACATTAAAAGAAAGAGTTGCGATGAAATTGGCAACAATAGTCAAATTTGACTAATAGCTAATACCAAACGAAGAAGAAGAAGAAGGCGTCACACCCCGGTGCAGGGCACGTTCAGTGTTTATAGGTTGGTGCCATGCACCACAATATTGTCTAGCACAAAATTGTTCGGAAATGGAATCAGCAACCTTGGCAACTTTGCCACCATGAAAATACTCTATTGTGTGCTAACAATATACCAAAATGCTGTTTGGGAATACAACATTTTGAAACCATGACAATGTGAACAATCTTATTGAAGTAAGGGTGCTTTGCATCCGGGCTTTGCATCCACCTATAAACGTATTTGGCGGAGGGAGTGGCTATTGTAGAGCGGAATTGCACCCTTACTTCCTAGTGTGTATGTAACTCATAAAATCCGCCCTTGCTTTTATTTTTAACAAATTGTAAATTGTAATTTCATTAAAAATTTCTGCTTTCAATTCAATTCAATTCAGAACTTTATTTCAGACTCAGCTGCATAAGGCAGATGTCCATGCATAAAACATAATGTTACATAGATATATAGGGAGTATAAACATGATGAATATAATAACAACAAATCTTACAAAGAGTATAACAAACTAAACTATACGTACATACAATCTAATCTCTAAGAGTAACAGGCCTGTATCTGTAAGGTTGATAACAGTAGAACAATCTTACTCTAAGCTGTACCTGTAACTGTAAGGAAGTTGTATCTTGTAACAATCTCTACTCAACTAACCAGAACAATATACTAATAATAGATAACCAGTATAACAAACAACAATATACTGCTCCCATGAGAGGCTGGATATTGATAACACCATGGAGATATCTATCTTATATCTCCATGGTAACACCAACATGTGTCAGCAGGCTATTCAGCCAAAATTTCCAGAGGCTCGATGACAACCCGCATCTCAGATCGAGACATCCGGCCACTCTCTGGATAATTAATACATGAGATTTCGTAATACAGCCGAACAGGCTGGAACATGAATCCTGGATCGATGAGCAGGCTTAGACCTACAACATCGTGTTTTAAAATAAATTAAGTAAGTAAAACACTCTTTCATCAGATGATTTTTAAAATAAATTAGCAATTTTCTAGGTGTAAACTTTTTTTGGACTCACACTGCATAATGGCGTTGCGTCAGGGTATTCCCCTCGTGCGATATATGATGTCATCGATCGGTGTGTGAGTCAGTGTATTGGGTTTTGACAGATGTTTTATTTATCTGGTACGCGGTATATATATACAGGTCCGCGTTTGAAGAAACCATATTTTACGTCCACATTGGCCATGCACACACACCAAACCTGCTTTTAGTTCGATAATTCTTCATATGCTTTAGACCCTACACATCATTTTCGCAGGTTACAGGGGTTACAGCAGTCTTTCCAAGATCTTGGTAAGTTTTAGTAAGATTATATATACCGTACCGACTCTACTATAATAAATTTAAGTTTGTTCTGAGATTATTTGTAATGTCCTGTATGGTTGTGAACATCCAGATCAAGGGAAGGCTTCCTTTTGCGACAGCCACCCAAGAACAAAAGAAACTCAACTCGTTCTCTCGCAGATCATCGGTAGCGTGCTGGACTAGCTGTAGATCAGTGTGATGTGATGTTCTGTGCAATGTCAGTCAGAGCTAGTGTTTACTTGGATTGACAGCATGTAAGAGTATGAACAGATTGAAGGAGGAATGGAAGGAGAGAAGAGAGAATGTTGGCTATAGAGGTGCATATCAGATGTTGCAAACGGAGATCTTTCCAAAATCCAATTAAAGGTACAGACCAGTTTTGAAAACGCCCCCCTATCAAAAAGTAAAATGGAAGCTCTATTACCAATCATGTGAAAGAATATGTTATGACTATACTAAATACGTGATCATGCAAATTTTGCCGAGAAACCACCTACTATATATATTTGGTAAATTATTTTTATCTATTTGGACCTGATAGATATAACGCACGTGTCGCGCACATGTGCGTAATGTACAGTGCTTGTATAACTTTACCAAGACTGGGCCAAATTTCTTATCATTTTGATGATTCCAGAACCTTGCAGTACACACCAATACTAGACCTAGATGCTAGATGATCAACCTTTCCTGATCAATTCCACAACAATTCCACAACGTATCTTTCACAATGCAATCGCATGACCATATTACTGGTTTTTATCTTTAACCACTGCACTGCTTCACTTCGAACTTCACACTTCATTGTCTAGACTATAGAGATTCAAGATTCAAGATTTAAGATTTATATAATTCTTTCATGCACAGACATGAATGAAAACAATACATTCATGAACAGTAACAAAAAGTTCATCATCAACAAGAATAAATTCATGAACAATAACAAGAGAGTTATAAAATAATAAAGACATTGAAAATGTGGAAAAGAGGTGGTCTGTAAAAAAGCACAGCTTCTTAAACACAGATCACTTTTACAGGGACCGTTGAACGACAAAAAAGATTTTAAAAGAAGTAGATTAATAAGGAAATAGAAATGGAAATGGGGAAGGTGAATAAATGTACAATACAGGGGGTGCGCGGTGGGGCTAAGAATACTAATCTATAGTTACCTATACTGAATACAAAGAAATATCAGATCTATCACTAATTTATAGAAATTAGAATATGGTACATTAAAAGAAACAGAATAATGATGACAGAATAGTAAAGAATAGGGGAAGGTGGATAAATGTACAATACAGAGGAGGGGGGGGGGGGATCAATGCTAATCCAGTTTTCCATATTGAATGTAAATAAATATCAGATCTATTCACTGTAGGTGTACAGTAGACAAAATTTCGGCTAGCTATATACTAGTCTTCTTCTTCTGGATATAATGCCTCCTTCAATACTAAAGATTCTTGCAGATGTATATACTGGGGTGATGGACCACTACACCAGGGTTTCCCCTAAACTCTTTACGAATGGTGCAGTGGGTTCTTAACATGCTATGGTGGTGACTCTCCTCTACACGCTAACACTGGGCCTCCATTTAATGTCCTATCCGAGGGACGGAGTGTTTTCTACTTAACGTAGCCTGTGTCTATGAAACAGGGGAGAGGCACATATAACACACAAGACAGGCTTCAGTCATCCGCCTGGGTGGGATTCCACAGGCAGACGCTTTACCGACTGAGCCAACTGAGGCCTATAATGGTTATACCTAGGTATAATGTTATGGGGATATTAATTCCACTGCACTGAGGATATATAGGCATTTAAAGATACACCAGGTAGGGCATATAGGTATAGGCCTAGACTTAAAAATAACAAGCAAGTGTTTATATGGACAATAACCCAGCCCCCCCCCCCAGAAAATTACCCCTATAGACTAGGACAATGACCCCCCAACCCTGAAAATTACCCCCAAGGGCTAGGCTACTAGGCTAGGAGTAGCTAGCGTTATAGCAGGACAATTATCCCCCCCCCCCCCCCCCGAAAATTACCCCCTGATTGTAAAAAGGGCCATCTTCTTCTTCTTCTTCTTCTTTTTCTTCTATCAGTACAATACATTGCTTCCTTCAGGTTTGAAGATTCTTGCAGATGGTTGACTCGGCTCAGTGTGTGTGGGTGTATATATAAATGAGTTAGGATGCAGCATGCATTATTTATAAGGTGTAAGTAAAAAGTCTTGATCGGTTTAGCACTGCATGGCCTTCCATCAGTCTTTGACGGAAAGCTATTGGAATTGAATTGAATTGAATATGCTGAATGGGAGAGCGTTCGTTGCCCAAACAGTCTTGTGGCAGAAGGACTGTTTGAGGAGGACGTACTGTTCTGCAGTTGGGGATCTGGTAGCCATTTAGCATCTGCATGTGTTGATCGTGTTCTTCTGGAACCAGCAAGTTTAAGGGGAAGTCTACCTTTTTTTGCCTGTATCTCTAGCAAATGTATAGTCCCATGGATGGACATGTTTAATAATGATCGACATGAGATGATGAGAGATACTGTTCTTATCGATCATTGAGGATTAGCCCGATTAGGTTTTATATAATAATAATAATAATACAAACGTTACTTATATAGCACCCTGCATTACAAATGGAAAGTGGTGGGGATCTTGTTTAACTTTGAGAAAGTGGTGGTGTGTTGTTGTTTTTTGTTTTTTTTTTTTTTTTTTTTTTTGTTTTGTTTTGTTTGTTTTTTGTTTTTTTGTTTTTTTGGGGGGGGCGGGGGGTCTTACTCTGGTTGTGAAATAGTGACACACTAGTATACATGTACATGTATGTATGTATGGTGTGTATTTTGTAAGTGATATGGATGCCTGTCCTAATGATAGCCTGTTTTCTTCTTTCATTCTAATCTCAAGGAACAATGGAAGAGGAACCTGAAGAAACACTATATGGGCGTGCAATTTTGTTATCCGAGAAAAGGTATTAGTAATTGATGGTATAAAAACTTGAAACGCATCAAATGATGAAGGATTTTTGCACTTCAACTTTACAGATTTTGAGAAAATACAAAATATTTGCATTACGGTAGGCCTATAAATGAACTCATTTGCTGGTTTGACACTTTGAAACAAATTTTACCAGTCCCCAGTATCCTCCCTCCCCCCCCCCCTCACTTCTTTCCAGTATATAATGAAAATCTGAACTAAAGCATTAAAGATGATAATAATAAATATGAATTTAAAAATATAAAAGAAAATTAACATGCCTTCGATCAGGCTTCTGCTATAAAAGGCAAATATATTTTGTATGTATTTGTGGTTCGTAGACCAATATACTACAACATGTCAGGTAAAAATACCAAGACATGAATATCCATAAACCCACTTTTAGCCCTGTTATAAATCGCAATGTTTTAATGTACTAAACTACAGTATGATTTGAGCCATACTATGGTGATGCACACTAATACCAATTATCGCTATCGAAACTTGTAAAGTAACAATTATTGATTTTTTCAGCCCATGGGAAAATCCAAAGGCTTTTTCAGGATTGGAGGAGAAATCAGAAGAAGTTGCCGCTCCAGAAGAAGAGGATACATCTAATAAGGGAAAGGATAGCTGGTCACCTACATGTTCAAATAAGAAGCGCATACACAAGGTATCTGCATTTGTACATATGAAGAGCCTAATTCCACTTTAGATGAAAATTTAGTTATTGATATCCAAACATTGTTCACTTAAGTCTTTCAACAAAATTATTTATCTAAATTTTGGGAGCAATTATGAAAAAATGCACCTTCTAATATCACTTTTCCATAGATGCCTGTACAAAATCTAGTAAACAATTTCTTTTTTCTCAGAATTTACAAAAATGGATTTAGCTCGATCCTTTTGGAATTAAACTCTTCATATATTGTCTCCTAAAGTTTGAAGACATTTTTAGAAATAAGATATTGAAGAAATTTATTATTCATGTCCAATAATGTGCCGATACATTTTTCTACATCCTAGGGGTCGTTATCATATATGCCCATGCAGGCACCATGCAAGACCAAAACAGTCTTCCTGGTAGGTTAAAAGAGCAACAATTTGTCTGAATTGACCATTAGTTTAGAAACTAAAGTGCCTCATCCGGATCTCATTTTGTGATTTACAAAAACTATTGCCCTTTGAAGCATCCCAATTTTAGTATTTTTGCACACATCAAGGCTTGTCAAGTCATGCATGCAACATGACGGGTCGGGCTAACTGGGACCGGATACAACTCGGCCCAGCTGCGAAAATGGTCAGTTTTTGCAGGTTTAGGGTTAGGTTTAGGTCTAGGTTTAGGGTTAGGGTTAGGGTTAAATGACAAAAAATGACAGTTTTTGCAGCGTGGCCGAGTTGTCCCCAGGTCCTAGTAAGCCCGGATCCAACATGACATACCGGTACATTAACCTATGATAGATTGTGGTTATTTTGCATCAATCCCTGTCATTTCTATCTTTTTATCATTTCTTCTCATGAACCATTGACATGGTATAGTCACTATAGTGTAGGTTTCAAGTTAATAACTGGAAATATGTCCAACCACGTTTTCATTACATTTTGTATCATTTTAGCTAGTGCAAGACAGATCAGTTGGTATGGACATAATTGTCAGAGACAAAATCAAAACAAAAATAGGAATGCCTGTCTCGTATCAAACCAATTTAAGATGGGCCTGATTATGTTAAACATAACAAAAGATATCCAGTACCATTCTTTGCCAAGGTTATATTTTCTTACGATAGGTATAGCTATCACTCCATTTTTAAAAAATTAGTTTTTCAGAGATTGTGAAAACTTTAGAGCTTTGTCCAATTTTCATAAATTTCCTGTCCAAAATGTGCAAGAAAGAGATAAAAGAAATATCTTAATAGGCTAGGCATGACAAAAAATATGAGAAAGTGATGTTGGATGGTTTCAATGAAAAAACATTTTACATGTTTATACCTAAGTTATTGTACTGGTAGTTCTGCCTTTAATATGTGTATTTTTTCTCACAGACATGGATAGACGAGCTAGCAAAAGACGAGCCAACAAAAATCGAGCACAAGTACATGTACATGTGGATGTCCTTTCTAATGCTTATGGTAATAAGTGTATCAGGAGCTGATGGAAAAGGTTTGAATTGTGTTAAGAATTATTATTAAATAGTTGAAACAACAAGTGTACATCACTAGAGTGAGACAAAGTGATGTTGGGTTAAAGAAGGTCAAATGCCAAGGTCAGCAAGTCATTTTATATGAAATGTAAAGATTTTTTAAAACCTTATTTTTATCAAAGTAATGACTGTTTTAGCTGTGAACTTAAAATATATAAGTCGTATGCATCAGGGTAGCAAAGTGATCAGATTTTGGGATCATCAGGTCAAAGGGCATAGGTCTTAATGATCAAATGACATGTTGTTACAGGCTTTTTGTTCTCATTGTGATATTCCAAGAATAATTCAAGCCACAATAGTAACTGCAGTGAATTTACATTGTAGACAGGGGCATATTGGCAATGCAGTCACATTTGTCTGGTAATTTTTATTACTATCTTCATTTGTTTGTTTTTTTCTTTTTTTCTTCTTGACTTCACATTCTCCAGTTCATCTTCAACGGGGGAACTTCAGGAAAACTACCATAGCGGCCGATGAGACTCAAAGAGCCACCGACCCGGTTTTCAAACCGCTTAATGACTCGGTCTTCTCCATCTTTGCGAGAGGCGGACATGACCCCGAAAGATATGAATGTACTTCAGATTTTGTGTCAAAAAATCGAAGTTGCACTATAGTTGTAGGGGACAGGAGTAAGGCTGAGTGTGAGGGACTTCGGATCTCTGGGAATGGATCTCACACTTACATTGCCGTAGATGGGTCAAAACTGATTCACGACCTCACAATCTTCTGCATCTACCAACAAGTACCTTCAGACTACTCCCTGTACTTTCTGGAGGTGTCCAAGATTCAAGAGCAAGGTAATATTTCCCTTCAGCAGATAATAATAATAACATTTCGTTGTTATATAGCGCTCAATACATCGATCCAATGATGTGCCTAAGTGCTTTACAGATATATTATTACCCCGGTCAACGGCTTCAGGCTCACCCGCACACAATGTGTGCACATTTTCCACTCCCTGGGGAGCATTCCAGCCAGTCGCCATTTTACAAGCGCACACTTGCTCGTCCAACCACATGAACGTTCGCATCCTACAGATATTCTTGTGTTTTTAAAGGAGAATGAAATCCAACAAACTGGTATGGATATCGTTATTCCAAATTGTCAGCATGTTATATAGAAGATTGTAAAATTTCTTCAACACCTATTTGATTATTCAGCAAGGAAACCTATATCTCCAAAGTTCCCAATTTCCTTGCATGCCCGGAAAGTCAGCATGTTGATTGAGTTGTACAACTTGTGAATATACAAAAATGAATGCAAAGGCTATCAGCTGGGACGGGGGGGGGGGGGGGGGGGGGGGGGGGGGACAGAGGTCAAAAGCAAGTGAATAACAGTTCAGCATACATTCTTTTTCCATGAAATGTCTACCAGCCTCTGATATTTTAAAGTCCAAACAAAAAGCGTGTACGCGTTTAAATGCATTCATACATGTATATTCATTACAGTAAACCTTTAAAACGCTTACTGAACACAGAGCATATTTTTTAAATAGTTTGTTTTCTTCTTCCGCATCAGATTCTGATGGGCTTGATGGATTATGCAAGAGGAAAAAGATATTAAATGAATGATGTTTTGAGAGCAATTTGTTGTAACTGATGCATATATTATTCATGTAATTTTTACCGCTTGTATTATCGTTTGGTTTTAAAGATTGTGTGTTTAAAATTGTTCTTCCTTTTTTTTCAGCTTCTGATTGTACATCCTGGAGGAATGCCTTCATCGTCGTCATACCACTTCTGATCATCATCATGCCTTGTATGACCTTAGCTATCCAATACATCTATAAGAGAAGTAAGTTTAAGCAGCAACATGCTTTATGCATCCATGGTCCTTGTCGCAGGGATTTAGTAACTTGATTATTTGTTAGGCTTTTTCTTTTTTTTCTTCTTCTTTTTCTTCTTTTTTTGTGTCCACAAGATATAGAATCTTCTACATTTAAATATCTACATTGCATAACAAAAAAAAGTACACACATTGAAAATATCCTCAAAAAACTTAATTTCATGATATCTGCATGATATTTCCTCATGAAATTATTTGTGAATGTCTATTCAATCAGATGGCACTTAAATTACTGGCAATATAAGTGTACGCTTGAGTGAGCACCGGCTAATTTCTAAAAACTTGTGAAAATTCGTTTGCACAAAAATATATTAAATTGGAGCAAACTAGTGCATATCAGGCATCAATTGCCATCTGATTTAAACAAGGGCTTTGAAACACTAAGGTTGACAATGTTTGTATGTGTTTGTGTTTCCTATTTTTCTTTAAATAGTATTAAGAATTCTATTGATATTAAAACCAACAATAGTTTTGGAAATTTCATTTATTAGAAACATTCTCTATATACCTTTACAAATATTTATACAAGAGAAGACATGCAAATTAATTAATTAATGTTGTTCATTTTATTGTATTATATTTTGCTATTCAAACCTCAAGTTGTGCTGTTTGATGGTGTCATAGGTGGTATTAAGAGAACAAAAATAGCTGTTTGACAGAGTATCAGTTTTCCATTCCTTTTGTGCTTAAATCCCCCACCCTTACTCCACATTTTTATGGGATTAAAATGTTATTCTTATGTTTAACCCTTTGTATGTAGACAAATCAATGAAACGATGACACTGATCAAGATGGGATCCTGACAAGACTTGATGGTAATGAGTAAGAATTGTTATATAAGTAAAAGTCCAACAATAGATTATCTTTAGTTCTTTAAAGTGTAGAACATTGAAGTTAGTTTGAAAGAAAGAAATGACAACATAGCTGTGTATCTTTCAAATATACATACATGTAGTTATATACTGATGTTTATTTTTTTGTTTATGTGTTTTGTTTGTTGGGGGAGGGGTATGGTGGAAATATGGATTCATTTGACCCACCAAACTTTTAATCTCAAAAGTCAATGCAAATTAAAGTTTAATTCATTCTAAAGTTACGATAAAAATCAGAACAACATTTTGGCAAGAATATGCCTATATAATATGTCTATATAGCCCATTCCATTAAAATGAACTGAACATAAAAGTACTCACCTTTTAAATGAAGGCGGGGGGGGGGGGGGGGGTTAAGGTGTGAAGAGGGATGAGAGAGTGGCTTTATATGCAATGTATCCATGTTTACTATGATCTATAAGCATGTTATAGTAATCTAACCTGAGGTTCAAATGTGGATGGCAGATTGGAGGGGGGGGGGGGGGGGGTAAAAAACATTATCTTTTAGGGGTACAAATATAAACATTAATATATAATTTGTAACGTCACTGGGCACATTGTTGATGGACAATAGAGTACAGCAACTATGTCCTATTTTGTTTTTGTTTAATTTGCAAGACAAATATTATAAACCATGCTCCATAATTAGAATTGATGGTATGGTATACAAAGGGAGACTGTTAGTCCATGCAACATCTCATTGTTAAATTATTGTATTCTATTCTCTACCACAGGATGAACGGTTATGCTCAAGCTGAACGGGAGAAGGAGCCTTTACAGTTCAAGGACTTTTTTTTGGGGGGGGGGTGGGGAGGTTCATTTGTTTATTTTAGTTGTTTTTTTAAACTTTCAGTTGGGTATTAAACATTAGCTATTTTAATCTTCCTGTATATTGGAGAGATAAAAGAGCCCCTACTTTATCTTAAGTTTTATTTCAAGTTTCACTAAAAATAAGATGGGCGATAGCGTTAAAGTTGCATGTATCATGTTTATAACTGTAATGGGTGCACAAAAAGAAAGAGATTAAGATTAAATGAAAGATCAAATCTGAGATATAAATTAGTGGTCTTTAAATTAATACCTGTTATATTTTTTTAATAAAATAAAATATTTGGGAGATGAAATCTTGCTCAGAATACCACCGTGGGTTATGGTTGAATAATATCTACTACATTTAGAACATGTCTTGATAATGCATGTAGTTTACCATGTTAATAACCCTTCTGTACAAGTATGAATGATCTGCAGTCAAACCTGCTTTTGACGCATATTGTGTTTCCCCTAAAACGTGTGTTTATATAAACATGTCAAGACCATGTACCTAGCTAGAGAGACCACTTTTTGTATCTGCTTTCGGTGGTCTTTCTGTACAGGTTTAAATGTATATACTGCTCCTAGTTTTAAATAATTTGTGATGGTCATATTTTTTCAGATTGTAGATTTTGTAAATGCATGTATGGTGGTGTGACCTTAATTCGCGGACAATTCCATATCTTTAAAAATCTATAAGATTTTGAAAATCTAATATGGCCAATGGAAAGATGAACATAAGATGGCCTAGAGACGAAAATTCTTAGGAATAGGGTCTGAAATTATCAAAAATAGTGACAAAAGATTGACAAATTTGCATTCTTTTGCATGGGTTCCGATAAAAATGTGAACTTTCTGACAATGGTGTAGAAATCTTCATTTAGAGAGAATATGTCATCAAAATTGCAAGTAAAAAGTTATACTAACTTCCCAGTTGTGTGATAGTTTGACTTGCAATTCATGCAATTTCCTTACCTTTGATGGATTGCTTTTTAAAAATTTCCCTTGTAAACTCTTTTACGCGAATTTAGGACTTGTTGTTTTCTTTTGTAACGTTCATGTGTATAGCATATTTGTAAAGCACATTACGATCTGACATCAAATTGCTAGTTGCACCCGTTTGTAGTCTACAATTTGGATTCATTTGGAAATAATTAATCTAAATAAGTTTGTATAAAATATGAGAAATCCTGGGTCGAATATCACATTCCTATTTTATATTAATGTCCACAAACTTTGGTCACCCCATCAAACATATCTAAGTTGAATTCACTCATACATGTTCAAGTATCTTAAATACATTCCTATTTTTGCATGATGTTCAATTTATTTACATATTGGTAGAAACATTTGTTTGTATATTATCTGACATTGGAAATGAGCAGTGTCTCTTAAAAGCGGACCAAAAATCATAATATGTATGCTTTATAATTGGGTTCCTTGCTGGTATGGCTTCTGGGTCTTGCTGTAAAAAATATACATGTATGTATTTTTTAGTGTAGAAAATTACCATAATTATGTTAAGGTAGATTTGTAATATAACTTTGATTAACTGAAGACACTGAGAAGGGCTATCGAGAGATGTATGGGAATAGAACATTTTGGAAAGAGAATTTAATGTATGAGGGTCATACTTGTATGAAACTGGAGGAGATAAGAAATAGGAGTTGCAATTAAGTTCAATTATTTGCCATTGATTTGTATCGATGATGAGGGTCCAAACATTCTTAAATCAGAAGAAGAACATGCCCTGTGGATCTGTAGAGCATGATATATGTAGAGATATATCTCTCAAAATGGGGGAGCGAACCTTCGTTCATGCTGGGCCTTCATTATGGAATACTCTCCCTCAATGGATTACAAATAACAGTTCTGGTGAAGTGTTAAAAAAAAATCTTAAGAAATATCTGTTTAATTTAGCCTATAATTGATTACCATTACCTTTCATGTCTGTACCTCTCCTATTGCACTTTTGTAAATATTCATCAAGTATTTTATCTTTTGCACAAGCTGCGCCTTGAGCATTTGATTGTCAAGTGGATTTGGCGCCACACAAATCTTATGTATTATTATTACATTCACTGAGAATGTTCTAAAGCTGAAGGTCCAAATGGGATGACCAAAGATGACCAAAACTTGATAGCCTAAAAGAATTTGTTATTGAACATTTGAACAACATATGCCAGAATATATTCCTAAGGATCTGAAAAGTCGATGTATGTGCCAACCCCTAAGAAACCTAAGGCAAGCGTACTTAAAGATTTTAGAACTTTTGGGTCTTGTGAGTTGCTCTGGAACAACATGTATTTCTTACATTTGTTTTAAATGCATAAAATAGATTTGTAATGTTTTGTTGGAAACATGAATAAAATTTGAAATTGAAGTTTGAAAATTGAAATTTGAAAATTTGAAAATTTGAAATTGAAATTGAAATTGAAATTGATCATAGAGGGCACTATAGCTTGAATAAAAGATCAAATTGAAAAAGAAGTAGGTCAGGAACAGTTTGGTTTCATACCTCGAAGTGGTACAAGGGAAGCCAGATTCAGTATGAGAGTATTTGAAGAAATATATATTATTTATATATAATATATAATATTTTACACTACAAATAAATAGATCTTGTTCAACTTTACTATGTGCAATGTTTAGTCTGATGTTAGTTTTAAATGTTGAATTATTAATGATTGAAAGTCCCTTTCCACACTAAATATGAAATGAGAGAGAGGGGGAGATGAGAGGGACAGGAGGAGAGAGAGAGAGAGGGGGAGAGAGAGATGAGAGAGAGAGAAAGCGAGAGGGGGAGAGAGATGAGAGAAATAGAGAGGGGGAGAGAGGGGGAGAGAGAAAGCGAGAAGGGGAGAGAGAAAGCGAGAGGGGGAGAGAGAGATGAGAGAAATAGAGAGGGGGGGGGGGGGGGGAGAGATGAAAGAAAGCGAGAGGGGGAGAGGGGGAGAGAGAGATGAGAGAAAGCGAGAGGGGGGAGAGAGATGAAAGAAAGCAAAAGGGGAGAGGGGAGAGAGAAAGCGAGAAGGGGAGAGAGAAAGCGAGAGGGGGAGAGAGAGATGAGAGAAATAGAGAGGGGGGGGGGAGAGATGAAAGAAAGCGAGAGGGGGGAGAGAGAGATGAGAGAAATAGAGAGGGGGGGGGGGGGAGAGATGAAAGAAAGCGAGAGGGGGAGAGAGAGAGATGAGAGAAAGCGAGAGGGGGAGAGAGAGATGAGAGAAAGTGAGAGGGGGAGAGAGAGATGAGAGAAAGCGAGAGAGATGAGAGAAAGCGAGAGGGGGGAGAGAGATGAAAGAAAGCAAAAGGGGGAGAGGGGGAGAGGGGGAGAGAGAAAGCGAGAAGGGGAGAGAGAAAGCGAGAGGGGGAGAGAGAGATGAGAGAAAGCGAGAGAAAGAGAGACGGAGAGATGAGAGAAAGCGAGAGAGAGAGAGAGAGAGATGAGAGAAAGCGAGAGGGGAGAGAGAAAGCGAGAGGGGTAGAGAGAGAGAGATGAGAGAAAGCGAGAGGGGGAGAGAGAGATGAGAGAAAGAGAGAGGGGGAGAGAGAGATGAGAGAGAGCGAGAGGGGGAGAGAGAGATGAGAGAGAGCGAGAGGGGGAGAGAGAGATGAGAGAAAGCGAGAGGGGGAGAGAGAGATGAGAGAAAGCGAGAGGGGGAGAGAGAGATGAGAGAAAGCGAGAGGGGGAGAGATGGGAGTAAAGGGAGGAGAGAGTGATCATGAGATGGGAGACGTAGGGAGATGTTAGGGAAGAGAGAGAGAGAGAGATGAGAGAAAGCGAGAGGAGAAGAGAGAGATATGAAAGAAAGTGAGAGGGGGAGAGAGATGAGAGAAAGTGAGAAGAGAAGAGAGAGTTGAGAGAAAGCGAGGAGAGAGAGAGAGAGAGAGATGAGAGAAAGCGAGAGGGGGAGAGATAGATGAGAGACAGCGGGGAGAGAGAGAGAGAGAGAGAGAGAGAGAGAGAGAGAGAGAGATGAGAGAAAGCGAGAGGGGGAGAGAGAGATGAGAGAAAGCGAGAGGGGGAGAGATGGGAGTAAAGGGAGGAGAGAGTGATCATGAGATGGGAGACGTAGGGAGATGTTAGGGAAGAGAGAGAGAGATGAGAGAAAGCGAGAGGAGAAGAGAGAGATATGAGAGAAAGTGAGAGGGGGAGAGAGATGAGAGAAAGTGAGAAGAGAAGAGAGAGTTGAGAGAAAGCGAGGAGAGAGAGAGAGAGAGAGATGAGAGAAAGCGAGAGGGGGAGAGATAGATGAGAGACAGCGGGGAGAGAGAGAGAGAGAGAGAGAGAGAGAGAGAGAGAGAGAGAGAGAGAGAGAGAGAGAGAGAGAGAGAGAGAGATGAGAGAAAGCGAGAGGGGGAGAGAGAGAGAGATGAGAGAAAGAGAGAGGGGGAGAGAGAGATGAGAGAAAGCGAGAGGGGGAGAGAGAGATGAGAGAATGCGAGAGGGGGAGAGAGAGATGAGAGAAATATAGAGGGGAGAGAGAGATGAGAGAAAGCGAGAGGGGGAGAGAGAGATGAGAGTAAAGGGAGGAGAGAGGGATCGAGAGATGGGAGACGTAGGGAGATGTTAGATCGAGAGGGTATAACATTTAGAAAAGAGAATACGATGAACAAGGGTCGTATGAAACTAAGCTAAGAATCATTCGCATAAATCTTCAGTTCATGCATTCAAAAATGCCTCAGAATATAAATCAAGGCTAAAAAAAATTCCGGGGCCCTTAAGTGGACCCCTAACCCCACGCCATAAAGGCTTTTCACTAGTTTGCAATTTCGTACATTTCACCATTTTCACGCCCCCCCCCCCCCCCCCCCCCCCCCCCCCCCCCCCCCCCACCCCCCCCCCCCCCCTCTTGGAAAGTCTTGGATCATTCCCTGGTACTATGTAATTTGATATTAATTTTGTCTATCATTGTCTTTGTGATCTAACATTTTTCTCACATACAATAATAGTCCATCATCCACAAATGACCGGCAGACATTGGTCT